AAAACAAACAAATGCACACGCATATGTACTATAATGCAAAATTGCACACACACTACACTTATATATGCATTGCACTGTGGACATTCTAAAATTGCACTATACACACGTTCACAATGAAATGCACACATACTTCATGCACCACTAGCAGCAACAAAGAAGCAAGAATCAAAACTTCAGTTCATTCACATACTTGACTAGTGCACAAACATGCATCATTAGATGCAATCGAGCACACTACAAGTAGATGCACCTGCATATGTACTATAATACACACACGCCAAGTTTACAACGCATACACAAATCACATGAACACAAAGTGCACATTATGCCACAACGAGATGCACATATACGATAAAACCCAACCGCAAGAAACTGGCAATGGAAATGCACAACTACTGAGCCCATAGTGCACAGTACTGTACACCAGTATATTGTCCGTGAAAACTGCACATAGCTCAATCACAAATATAGACAATATTATACTCAAATGATATAAAATTTTGTTTTGAAGATCAAAGATAGAAAATTTTAAAAACACAAAAATCAACTTAATTGAGTGCATGGCTGGAAAAAAAAAATTGCAAAAAATAAAAAATAAAAAACTTAAAGCAAAATGGAGAAAGAACCCATAAGAAGAAGGAGAGTACATTAGCAAGAAAAACCAAACGTTCCATAAATTCAACTCCTAAAATCAAACATAATATTTGTGTATAATCATTATATATTACAGCCTTCAAAACACAAACCAAAATTATCAAAGCATCACTGTGTAAATAAAAAGTTAAATAAAGAGTTACTTTCATTTTTTTGTCCTAGATTTATAGGTGACAGTCCACTTTTAGTATTTTTTTTTTTTTTTTATCGGAGCATCAACTTTTGGTCCTAGTATTATTATGACATGACCAATTTTGGTCATCTATCAACAAAACCGTTGAAATTTTATTAAATTGAAGGACATTTTGATCTTTTTAATACAAAGTGCGCTTACCCGTTATATTTTTTATGTTTATTTTTTGAAAAAAAAATCATAATTGAAGAGCGAAATACCCTTGTATTTAACGAAATTTCAACGATTTTTTTGATAGAGGACCAAAATTGGTCATGTCACAATAATACTAGGACAAAAAAGGGATGTTTTTATAAAAAAAATTACTAAAAGTGAACTGTCTCCTATAAATCTATGACCAAAAATAGAATTAACTCTTAAATAAATATTAAAAATAAACCACAGTTATACACATACTAAAGATGGAGAACCCAGATTTGTCACAATTTTTATGTGGGGATGGTTCTAATATGAACCTAATTGCACATAATTATTATGGGTATATTTATGACATCGTTTTCCAACATACTCTGAGGGAAGGAAATAAGTGTGCCAATCATCTAACTAATATTGGCTAGATTGGAGATTGGGGAACTACCTTGTTGGATTCCGCCGCCCGCTAGTATGGACATGCTTCTAGCTCGTGACGCCTTTGGTGTCAATTCTATGAGAGTGTGGAAACTTGTGTCTTTCTCGTTGTCTACGATAAGCTCATCCAAAAAAAAATAATAATAAATAAATAAAATTATGGGTATATTTTACATGAATATGCTGAGTTATATATTATGAATATAATTTCAGAAAATATAATACGTAATAATAACATGAATATGCATAATTACTTATTTTAATGGAAATAATTGCATAATATATAATGTATCATAATTAATAAATGGATATATACAATATATGGTAATGACTATAATAACTAAATATAAAAATTTCGTTTGTAAATTACAAAACAGCCCTATTAAGAAATTTCATTCCCAGCCCTCTAATGTTTAATTAGAGATAAGTATTAAAAAATAATATTCCACTGTCCTCAAATAGTTGTTTATATTCCATTTTTTGTAAGACTTAAAATATTATTTATTCATAAAATAAATATTACAAACAATTTTACTTTTTATATTATGTTTGGAAAAATTATATTTTTAATCCTTTAATTAGTTTCTACTAATCATTTTAATCTTTAATTTTTTGTCAGTATAGCATACCTATAACTTTTTTAAAATAAGTTAGTACAATTTTAGTTCTTAGAGCAATGGAACTATTAAATTATATAGGAATAAGTGTTAAATAGATCATCCAACTACATATTAAATTGCAATTGGGTCATCGACTCATCGAACTCAAAAAATTAAAATTAAGTCACTGAACAATGCAAAATAATGCAATTCAACCTAAAATAACCTGTTGATGTGGCAGTTACCGAATTTTAAAATATTTTTTTATTTTATTTAATAAATTTAAATTAAATAATTATTTTAAAAAAAAATACTCACTCGCCTTCTCCGGTGAGAAGGTAGCCTCGCCTTTTCACTGGAACAACCAACTGGGTTGCCTTCTTCGTTGATAAGGCAACCCAGTAGGTCACATTCTCGCTAGATTTCTATTTTTTAACACATTTCTTCCCATTTTTTAGTAAAACTTAAAAAAAAAATAATCTATTTCTTAACTTCAAAGGACTTTGTCTGCAATGGCATCAAGTTGCTCTTTTATATGAGAAATTGTGAGTTCAAATTTCAGTGGAGGCGATATTGTCTCTTATCTTTATGATTCATTAGGTAATTACGAACAGTATTCGATAATGGATATATTAATATATATAGTTTGGTGTCGGCAAACATAATAGGAGATGGTCATTTTAAGTCTTCAACTTCTTAGTGTTTCTTCTTTCTTGATTGTCAAGGCCACAAAATTTATAGTTCAGGTTATACAATTAGCCGTAGTAACCTTGATATAAGACATAATGCTGCATTGCTGCGAGAATAAACGTATCACATGGTAGGAGATGTATACAGAACTTAATATATAGATTAATGGTGTAATTATAATTTAGTAAGAATTTGTGAGATAGAGTTCTATTAAGACTTTAATATTATAATTAGACTAATGGTGTAGCTATTTTTTATATTAGACTTTAATATTAGAATTAGACTCATGGTGAGTTATAATTCTATAAGTATTTGTGGGTTAGAATTCTATTGAAACTTTAATATTAGAATTCTATAAGGATTTGTGTGCTTTTTCTTTTGAAGCAATGTTAACGGTGAATTTTGACAGAAATGGACGGAGAAGGTAATATTTAACAGGAAAGTTAACGGATAATCATATAATTAATGATAAATTAAGAAATTTCAAGGAAAAATTAAAATTTGAACAATGTGAACCATTTATTTGATTTAATGATTTGATGGACATTTTTTCTACCCATTATAGGCCTAAACTTTCTTTGGCTCTTCATAGTATAGTAGATAGTAGATATATAGGTTTCTGTTTTTAACTTTTGAATGTTTTAGGGAGTAACCATACGAGCCAGTCCTGTCATGTCTGGCCAGGGCGACTGCACAGGGCCCTCAATATAATCTATTATTCTTTATACTTGATTTTTTTTTTTTTGAATTCATAGATTGGTCTTAACTGTAATTGAGAATAAAATTTTAGAATGAATAGACATCGAAATTTTGTATTTAAATATGAACGAAAATGACACTTTTGAATTGTATTCTTTCTTTGTTAAATTTTTATGCATTATATTTGATCAAAAAAATATAATTACATTTTTATTTTTGTCATAGAATACAATAACTTGAAGTCCAAATGAATTTGAACTCAATTACCTCAGTTATATAGATTTTCTGATCTAGATCTTCATATGTCTTTTAAGATTATGCATGTTTCTTACATTTATAAATAAAAATCTCTATCATTATAGCGAAATTTAAATATTAGAGAAATATCTTTCTCCCTGTGTTTTGTCTCTCTATTATTGCCTTTGTGTTTGTAATTTACTCTATTATATTTAGATTGAATCTCAAAACAAAAACAATGAATGTCCAAACTTTTAGACATGGACCCTATTTTTAATGGAATGGCCTTGGTAACCATTATACAAGTGTATGTAATGGGTAAATTTTGCAAACCACATAAGAGTGTTAAACTGTAAAACTTGTGGTTTTCGAATGTCATAATCATGCTCCACTCACCCGATCACTAATTTGAGACAATTTTTGCATATTTTGTTATTATGTGTAGATATATTTATGCCTCTTATTAAATTAAGATAAAAAATAATTCAAATATCTTTTTTTTAAAGGATATATGTACTCTATAGAGGCTCTGTTTGGCAGAGCTTATTTAGGAGCTTATAGCTTATTTTAAGCTACTAATAAGCTATAAGCTCTGTTTGGTAATGTTCCCAAAATAAGCTCCTAGCTTCCTAACTTTTTTTTTTCATCTTTATCCTTATTATTTTAAAGAAATGACATAATTTACCCTTCTTCTCCTTTATCCGCATCTTTCACCTTTCACCGCAATTATTATTATTATTATTATTATTATTATTATTATTATTATTATTATTATTATTATTATTATTATTATTATTATTATGAGATTTGCAACAATATTGCTACTTTATTATGAGATGCTAGATCATGATTATGCTAATAGTTTTATTTCAAAATGTTAATTTTTTTAAAGACAAAATGTTAAATTTTAATATGTAAACAAACTAATTTAAATTTTATGAAGATGTCATTTCTAGTCTTTTTACATTTATCAGCTTATCAAAAAGATAATTTTACCAAATACTTTCAATCATAACAGCTAGCTTAACAGCTCTTCAATTTTCAGCTCCGAGCTTATAGCTTTTCAGCTTTCGGCTATTTTTCAGCTTTTAACTCCTAACTTATACCTTTTCAGCTAGGTTTGCTAAACAGAGCTAGAGTATAATTCCCGTGTGAAAAATTTATTAGAGCATGCACATCAGTGTATTTTATTTGGTTTTTTCATCCGAAAAAACCAAGCTTGGGTTTTTTACTAGTGTAAAAGAGGGTTTTTTGGTCAATTTTTTTAATAAGAAAGTTGAAGACGTGAACATGCTCTTGGACCGTACTAAGAAATAAGTGAAATAACAATGTTTTCAAATGAAACTTAATGATTAAATTAAATAATACTCTCCGGGTCCCCTGGCTTTAAATAGCATAAACATTTTCCATTTCACCACGCATTTCGGAATCATAAACAACCAACCGTACATTTTCGGGAATCTTCCTTCTTTTCTCTTAATATTCTCCATTGCCATTGTCATCTCTCACCTTCCTTCCTTCCTAAACCTGCAAGCTGCAACCTTCTTCCTGGAGTCTGTGTTTAGCTTCTTCTAATATAATACATTGAATTGGTTTCTAGATCCTGGAAACCAAGAGCTTCTTTCTTGATTGTAGCGATCGAGTTTGGTGGATTGAAATTGAGAATGAGTGGGGAGAGCTGTTCGCTGCTGGCGGCGGCCGGAGAGGAGGATTCGAACCGGAGAATTCTGGGGAAATACGAGCTGGGGAAGCTGCTTGGGTGTGGGGCTTTCGCGAAGGTTTATCACGCGCGGGTCATCAGGACGGGGCAGAGCGTGGCGATAAAAGCGGTGAGCAAACACAGGATTCTGAAGAGCGGCCTCACGGGTCACGTCAAACGGGAGGTTTCTATCATGCGCCGGCTGCGCCACCAGCATATCGTGCGCCTCCTGGAGGTCCTCGCTACCAAGACGAAGATCTATTTCGTGATGGAGTTCGCCAAAGGCGGGGAGCTCTTCACCAAGGTGGCCAAGGGGCGGTTCAGTGAGGATCTCAGCCGTAAGTACTTTCAGCAGCTCATCTCCGCCGTCGGTTACTGTCACTCCCGCGGCGTCTTCCACCGCGATCTCAAGCCGGAGAACTTGTTACTCGACGAGAATTGGGACCTCAAAATCACCGATTTCGGATTAAGCGCCGTGACGGATCAGGCCAGACCCGACGGCCGCCTCCATACCTTGTGCGGCACTCCGGCGTACGTCGCTCCTGAGGTCCTGGCGAAGAAAGGATACTACGGTGCTAAGGTGGACATCTGGTCGTGCGGCATCATCCTTTTCGTACTCAACGCCGGATACTTGCCGTTCAACGACACCAATCTAATGAACATGTACCGGAAAATTTACAAAGGCGAGTACCGGTGCCCTAAATGGACCTCACCGGAGCTGAAACACCTTATCAATCGCCTCCTCGACACCAATCCGGAGACTCGCATCACGGTGGAGGAAATCAAAGCCGATCCATGGTTCCGGAAAGGATACATGGACGTTAAACCCCAAATCGAATCCGAATTCGAATTCAAAACTGACAGCGACAGAGACAACAAATACCTAAACGCATTCGATCTCATCTCCTTCTCCCCCGGCGTCAACTTGTCCGGTCTATTCGATACTCACAGCGCCATCGCCGACACCGACCGGGTTCTATCGGCCGAACCGTCGGAGAAAATCGTCGACAGTATAGACAGGATAGCTAGGGCGGAGGGAATGAAAGTGACGAGAAAGAATGGTGGAATTAGGGCGGAGGGGCAAAATGGTCATCCCGTAGTAGTAGTTGAGATTAACCGGCTAACGGAGAAGCTGGTAATAGTAGAGCTCAAAAATTACCGCGGGGACGAAGCCGGCCGGGAAAAATGGAGTGATAAGTTTAGGCAACAGCTTAAACTACTAAGCTATCAACCAGACGAAGCCCATTAGTATAAAAATTACAGTATTAGACTTTTTTTTTACAGTTTTACCTTTTGGAAAATCGGAGTCTATGTGGATAAATAGTTTAAGACTTTTTTAAACCTTACAAAATAACCAAAAGGATAAAGCACAAAAAGCTTCTTGCTTTTACCTATGCCTTTCAGAATTAATCACAATGATTAGTAAAGTGATTAAACATAAACCTGCAGAAGGAAGAGCTTAAACAGCAGTCATGGAGAGTTGTCTAATTTCATTTTCTTAATATTTTTTTATCGTGTTTATATATTGTTTAATAACATATTTTTGTAATTAGAATAAATTTGTTTTAAAATTCTGTGTTAGTTTAACAATTATTATTTTTTTGGTGTACTCAGGTGGGTTTTCACCGACGTTGGAGATTTAAGGCTACTTCACCTTTGATTAAAGATGAATGAGTCACTTCCACCTGCAACCCAAGTTATTAGTTTAACAAATATAGTCACAACTGAAAGTCACTTCCACCAAACATTTTCTTAATATTTTTTTATCGAGTTTATATAGTGTTTAATAATAAAATATTTTTTATAAATAGAATAAAATTGTTTTAAAATTCAGTGTTAGTTTATTTAACAATTATAGTCACAAACTGAAAGTCTACTAGTGGAAAAGTCATATGAAAACAATGTTTTATGACTCTGTAAATATGGAGCCTACAAGTGGAAAAGTCATATGAGAACAATGCTAGTTCTTGTAAATTTCTAAATGGAATTATGTTACTGTTTTCCAAAAAAAAAAATGGAATTATGTTACTTTACTTTTATTTCCTTATTTCTTTTACACTTTAAAATGGAAATTTGTTTGATACTTTTGTGAATAAAATTAAAAGTAAGTAATGTAATTTTGTATTATTCATCAAAGAAATTGTATACTAGTAACTTTTAATTTTAAGATGGGTATATTTTTAAATTAACAAGATAGATAGTTTCGGTTTTATACTTTCCATCTGACCTTCTGAAGGAGAGCCCTTTTCCAAAAATAAATAAAAAATAAAAAAAGCAAGCCACGTAGATGCCATATGAGCACTTTCCCTTTGACCTTCACTAAAGGAGAGCCACAGAGATGTCATTTAAGCACAAGGTGTTTGTCGATCCATTGAGATATCTATAAAGACTTATAATTCACAAAGACTTCTAAAGATAAAATAGAAGTCTAGAAGATCTACAAAATCTCTATAACTGAAATAATTGAGTTCGAGTTCATATGGACTTCAAGTTAGGGTGTGTTTGGAAACCTGGAAAATGAGTTCTGGAAATCATTTTCCAAGTTTTCATTGTTTGGATGTGCCTGGAAAATCAAGTCAACGAAAATTATTTTCCGTTGACTTTGGAAAATAGGCTCATTTTGGAGGAAAATGACTTCCCCTTTTTTTTGAAGGGAAGTCATTTTCCAACTTTTACACCAACATCACACCACCACCAACATCATCAACACCATACCACCGCAACCACTACCACCGCCAACACCATACCACCACCACCACCATACCACCGCAACCATCGTCGCCGCCACCACCACCACCATACCACCGCCACCACCACCACTACTACCGCCGCCGCCGCCACCACCACCACTATACCACCGCAACCACTGTCGCCGCCACCACCACCACTACCACCGCCGCCGCCGCCACCACCACCACTATACCACCGCAACCACTGTCGCCGCCACCACCACCACCATACTATCGTCACCACCACTGCCACCGCCACCACCACCATACCACCGCCACCGCCATCACCACCATACCACCACTACTACCACACCACCACCATCACACCGCCGCCACCGCCACCACCACGACCATACCACCGCAGCCACCACCACCACCATACCACCGCAACCACCGTCGCCGCCGCCGCCACCATCACCACCATACCACCGCAACCACCGTCGTCGCCACCACACCACCACTGCCACTGCCGTCATACCACCACCAGTTATTATTATTATTATTATTATTGTTATTATTATTATTGTTATTATTATTATTATTATTACTATTATTATTATATAACAAATAACACCATTACCACTACACCACCCCCACCACCATAATATTTTTGATATATTATTAGTTATTTTTTTATTATATTTAAAATTATTATTATATTATTATATATTATTATACATGTTGTAATATTCGAAATAAAATAATTAAAATGTTTAATTATACAATTCTACTCATTTTCCAGAAAATGACCCAAACACACAAAAATAGTTTTCCAGAATGCAACCAAACACTGGAAAGGAAAATGTTTTCCGGAAAATGACTCATTTTCCAGAAAACATTTTCCAGAAGTCATTTTCCTGCTTTCCAAACGGACCCTTATTGTATTCTATGACTAAAAATAACATGTAAATTTTTTTTTTTCAAATATAATGCATAAAAATTCAACAAAGAAAAAAATGAAATTCAAAATTTAATTTAAAAGTGACATTTTTATGCATATTTAAATACAACACTATTCATCAAAATTTCAATGTCAATTCTATTTAATTTTATTTTCAATTACAATTAAGACCAGTGTATTCTAAAAAAGAATAATAATTATCAAGTATATAAAAATAATAGATTATATATAAATATTTTTAAAAAATTAAACCCAAAAAATTAGGGACCCTGTGTCGTCGCCTTGGGTGCATATGGCCAGTACCAACCCTGGTTTAAAACGGGTCCTCAACACCTTCACAAAAAGAAATAAATAATTTGGAGGCGCATAATATAATGTTTTGTGCTTCCAAATTATTATTATTAGTTTATTATTATTATCTATTATTAAAATGCTAATAAGTAATATGGAGCTTACCTACTTTAAAATTTGTATTTTTTTTTTTTGTGTCACTACCTCGTTCAAGTGTAATAACACGCAAATCATATAAGAGAAGTAAATCGTACTACTAATATTATATTGGATAGGCTTGACCAAGAAAGTGTTAACAAGAGCCAAATTCAAGACTTTAGTCTTAATAATAATTATATTGGCAACATTTTCATGAAAGTTATATTTTGCAATTACTTTTTAGATAGTTTTAGAAGAATTTGTTGAACCATATAACAGCATGCTGCATACTACTGTCGAAGTATAATAATAGGATGCAGTCATGCAGGTAAAATTAGTGTTTAAATTAAATATAAAATACCCAAAGTTATAATTTGGTAATGATGATTAATGTTTGTCGTAATCTGAGTTGGAATCAATAATACAGTGAATAAAAAACTAGTGGACGATGACGAAGCACTGTGCATAAAACATTGACAACATTATATTAATAAATATATAATTAAGGTTTTTAAAAAAATGTACGACTGATTGGTAAGTGAAGGTCATTATCACATTAGCTAATCAACTTATATCAATTTCTTTTTATATAAAAAAAAAAATAAAAAAATTTCTTATTTTCTTTACGCACATAATTCTGCGTATCATCACGAATCCGTTTGTGGTCCACTACTACAGTACAGCTGAACTGTACTGAACTGAACAATACAGTGTGAGTTGTCAATAATCATACGTCTTTGTTCCTATACCCAACCAATTATAAATGCATATTTTAATTGTTCGAGCATATAATATATAAACATAAATATGCAATCTAATTATCAGTTTAGACTTTTAGTTAACATGAAATACATATTTTAATTTTGTATCAGAGTCAACTTCATGTCAAAAATCATATGAAGAGATTATGATTTACGTGTTACTTGTAGTCCATCAAAAAGTAATCAGTCCCACATGTGATGACTGATGAGGCGGCGTGGTAACGAATTTGAGAATTATAGGATTAAACTCATTAGGCAGCCAATATAATTAGTGATTTTGCTGGGGTTTATTAATTATTAATTAGAGCCGACAAGTACATGATGCTTCTCAGTTCAAACATTGTTGTAAAGATGAGAGATGAGATTGCACATGGTTAATGGTGTCTGTTCTGTAGTGGTCAAGTGGATTGTCCCACGGCTTTTCTCTTCAGATCGAAAGACGGATGCTCCTCCGTTTTGCTAATGGATAAGTATTAAAGATTATTTAGTATGACAATATGAATTTGGTTGCCTTGAGGAGTTTGATTATAAGCAAGATAAGAGGTGTACAACTTTAATTTGTGTCTGCTCAATTTGCAACCAAGATAAATGTGATCGATTGATGGACATAACTGCTCTGAGTCATGTAAGCGTGGTAATAGCTCCCCAAGACCACTACCATTTCAAAGTTAAATATGTTAGGGGCAATTTTTCTGAGTTGGTTAGACTATTGGTTTGGTAGCCACAAAGTTTCAAGTTCGATTTTCAGTGAAAGTGGTCTATTGACCTTTTTAGTTTGAGTCAGTCAAATATGAATAACTTAGACTGGTTTATTTCCTTGTGGCTCTTTGTTGGCTAGAGTCATAAAGTGGGGTTTAGTAGTGCACACTCTTAGGTAGTGGCTATGGATTTCTCTGCCTTTTCATAAAAAAAAATTAAATACGTTAATTGCCAACGCCTTCTCGGTCGGGCACATCACACAGGACTTTTTAGTGCAATGCGGTTTACCTTTCATATGTGATTTAAAGACTATTACACAAAAATAAAATTTAACAAGGCATACTTTGGAGTAGCGTTTGAGGATTTCTCTTTGTCATCTAAAAAAGTAGTTAAATATGTTAACCAGGCGGGCTTCATGAGCTTACTTGCTTTTGAGCCCACGCTATTGGGTTAAAGCAAGCCATATATAGGCCGGCCACCAACTCATCAATACTCTAAACTTAGCTAAACCCTTCCTTTGGGCCATATATATCAGTCCTAATTGTGCCTAAACTACCTAAAAAGATGATACTTTTTGGTAATATAGTTAACTTATCAACTAATTTTGATGGCAAATTATATTGTGCATCCGTATGCACCATCACCATGCATGGTGCATACGGATGCAAAAACGACATCGTTTTACTAAAAAGCGTGTCTCCCCTTAAAAATAAAATCAGGTTCGATTCCCAGCAACAATATATGAATTAAAATTTCAGAATTGATGAACTATAATTCCATAATCGATGAACTATAATTTCAGAATCTAATCTATGAACTAAAAATTTCAGAATGAATGAACTAAAATTCCAGAATCTATGAACTAAAATTTCAGAATCGATGAACTATAATTCCAGAATCGATGAACTATAATTCCAGAATCGATGAACTAAAATTCCATAATCTATGGACTAAAATTTCAAAATGAATGAACTAAAATTCCATAATCTATGAACTAAAATTTCAAAATGAATGAACAACATAATGATGTTGCTGGGAATCGAACCTGATTTTTTTTTTTTTAAGGGGAGACGCGCGTTTTTAATAAAACGACGTCGTTTTTGCATCCGCATGGACCATGCATGGTGCATACGGATGCACAACATAACTATCCGATTTTGACCACTATTAACCGTTTAACTTGGTTAAACAATTAATATGAGTGTTTGATTAATTATCTTTTTGAATCAATTTATTACTCTAAAATGCTAAAATTCAAAAAGCTGTTCAAAGTAGCTTTTTCGATCAACTTTTTAAGAAAGTAATTTTGCATGTAATCAGTTATCAGCTAACAACTAATTTACCAAACACTTTTCTACAATCAGCTAACAACTAATTTACCAAACACTTTTCTACAATCAGCTAATGCTATCAACTAGTCAAACACACTAACCCAATCAGCTAACATCTATTTCCCAAACACCCCATAGTCTATTACCAACTTCTACCTTGATTCAACAAGTTAAATTATTAACCATCAAAAATAATTTTATTGTACATGGGATTAAGTTTTGGATGTGTAGATTTATTTTGTACAAAAAATTTTGAGCACCTAAGCTAGCCCAAAAGGAATGGTACCAATCGAAACTCAAATATGGGCCTATAGTGAATAACAGGCCTAAATATTCATTAAAACAGGAACTTGTACTCCCAGAATTTGAAACAATCGTTATAGCCTGCACCACGGCGCACAGTGCACCTTGCGCTCCGCGCCTCCCAAAACGACGTCGTTTTATGAGACGCGGTAGGAAGTTGACATGATTATGTATATTTGTTTATAGAATTATGTATATTTTTTATTATATACATTTTTATACAATTATGTACATTTTTTTTATACAATTATGTACATCCGAATCATGAAATTTTTGTGTATTATGTTAAGAGTTGATCTGTATTATGTTAAAAGTTTATATTTATTATGTATTATGTTAGATTATGTGTATTATCTTTTAGAAAAGAGTATGTGTATTTTATTATATAATTATGTATATTCATGTATACAATTATGTGTATTCTAGTATAACATTATGTACATTTTTTAACATAAAAATTTTTTTAAAGGAAAGTTAACTGTCAAACACTGGGCCGTCTGTGCGGTCGACGCTGCGGTTCAAAGCTGGTGTTACGACATATGGTATTGTGCTTCGTGACCACCAAGGTGCCTTCATAGCAGCCAGAAGCGGCAGACTACCTCATGGTATGCATGGACTCCTATCTCGCAGAGGCGTGTGCTATTAAAGAGGCTCTAACATGGATCAAAGACTGTCCGACAAATGGTTATATTTTAGAGTTTGATTACTTTAATTTTTATAATGCTTTTAATTCAAAAAACTCTAGACGTTTCATATGTTGGTTCGATTGTTAAGCAGTGTCGTATGACTGTTAGTGGCATTGGGAATATGTTGGTTCGCCATGTCAAAAGGTCAGCGAACCAGGTTGCTCACACGCTTGCATGAGTGGCTAGTTTTTCGTCTGTCCTAGGTGAGTGGCTTTCTTATCCTCCTGATTCTATTGCGGCTTTATTATAATGCAATCTTTCGTTGGGTTTCAAAAAAATTAATTATAAAAATATAAAAAAAATAGAATGGTGTTGCTCCCAAATCAACGCTAACCGGAAGTTTGTAGGCAAAATCATATAAATATTACCTAATTACAATGTTTTTATGAGTTTAAGGAATACCTATTTGACCATTTTCTCTGCAACATATTAGAAATTCAATTAAGTATTAACATTTGATTTAAGCTGGAAATAACACATGGAGGTTATTTGCATCAATGAGAGAGCCTTTATGTTATACAATTCAATTTTCTTTTAAAAAAAATATTTGTATATATACTCGTGCAAACCCACCTCTCATTTCCAACGTGGCACAAAGGTTTCTTTCGAGCATTCACATCCCCGTTTTTCCAACTCAAATGGGTATACTTTACGATTCAATTTCTCATTAACTCATTATCCATTTTGGACTATGATATATCATTTTCTTTGTCTCACTTAAGAAAACTCAAATCTACTTTGACCTGACTCAAATTATGAATGAATTTCCTAATATTTGTACCACAAAATTACAACTCACAATGCCAAATTTATTAAAATTTCCAACACATTATATTTACATTGAAAATAACTAGTAATTAATAATTGAATAATGGGCATGTCTTGAAGTGTTTGACACTTCTCTTTTGTCGCGGGCTAATTATATGAATTTAGATTTGGTTGGGAATAATTGGAATGTTGTGCTTTTCATGAACTCTTACAAGACATGTATATATCCCAATGCAACTATAAATGCAAGCCATGTGAACGACGTTCGATTTGCACTTCATGAATCAAAATCAAATCAAATTGTTGTTGCATCGTAGGTTTTGTACTTCATCTTTTTTATTGACGGGCTAACTATATTAAGTAGGATAACATTGATAAATAGCACACTTTGTATATGTGTAATTGTGTAAATGCTTAGTCGCTTAGAGTATATTTCGCACTTCAGTTTATTTATGTTTTAATAATATATATAATGTGCAAACACTTTATTATAATCAGTATGCATGTTTAAAATGAAGGCATATGTCTAAAGTTATAATTTAAAATGAAAAACACTTTAAAGTGTCTATTCCTAACAAAAGTAAGTGCCTAAAGTCGGTTAACAAATTTAAAAAAATAAAAATAAAAATAAAAGAACAACCTAACAACAAATGCATATTATTCCCCCCCCCCCCCCCCCCCCCCCCCCCAAAAAAAAAAAAAAAAAAAAAAAGCAAATGCATATTGCTTTTATTAAAAAAAAAAAACATTTTACATCTAATTTGTGTCTATTTTATATGTCAATAGACACCTATTGGCTATTGCCTTATCTAACATTAAATTATTTTAGTGTATTTGAGAGACCCGTTCTCTCTAAATTCATTATTCTCAATCTATCACTTAAGAATCAACTGAACTACTTGTTTTTTTTTTTTTTTTCATAACTATATGATGTGAGTTGTGACCAATATAGCCAATGCATGTAATATAAATTGTATGCATGTATTTTAGTGTCTTTTATAAACTCAACAAGAATAAAATGTGGATTGAACCTGATTAATATCGAGTATAAGTTCAATCAATATATTACATATATTCAATTAGTATAATAAAAGCGAGAACCCAATTAACATACTTTATATATCAACACAATATAGTAGTTTAAATTTGTTTTTATTGTACAAATGGTATATATCAAATATTAGTATAAATACACTTGATATAATTAAATGTGATGATACTCAATCATATTGGAATCATATGAAATCCTTATAGTTTCAATATGTATCTTATAATCTCCCAAAATCAAATGTAATGTGCACCACATACTATGCATAAAGTAAAGTTTAGAATCATTTCCGATTAAAAATGCCAAGTTTAAATGTACAACGACATTGCACCTTAACAATTCATCTTTTATTTAATTTTCGATTTTCGATTACCCCACGTATATTTAAAAATAATTTCTTTATTATTCATTACAATAGTACTTACAAAGTTGAGTTAATTATATCTAATGATGAGTTTGATGCATCGGGACTGATAATTGTACATAGTGTTGACTTTGGTATGTTTACCAACCCCCATCAAATTAAGAAAAAAAATCTGCAATCAATTACTTACGGTTCAAATGAAGTGAATTGGTAGAGTTTTGTTAAATGAAATTTTAAAACAGTTGTATCGATTTAACGAAATATACTCTGTATTATTTTAACATATAAGAAAATTTATAAATTATAATATAGTGAAATTATTACAATTATGTGATTGCCATAAATTAATTGTGATTATTAAAATTCAATACGAGATTAATTGATTGCCCATTAATTATTTTGATTATTGCGTAAATTCCATCGTCAGTGTGTTGATGAGTCAACGATTACAATGCCGTACAACATCGTGCAGCGTGAGCAGTAGTTTGGCGTGAACCTGAGCGCAGTGGATTGGAACTTCTTATGTGAACCCGGTCCGAAAGACGACCAGCCGGTTTGACAAATGGGTATATAGATAGCCGACTAAACCATCTTCCGTTTTCCTCTTTCTTTGTTTCTCTCTATTATCTCCGGAGTATTATTTTCTCTCTCATCAATCAGCAATCATCCGTATAATATCACATTTGCTTCGCCGGGGAGTTGAACGATACTCCGCCGTCCGCCGATGAATGTCCGATGGGCCACAAATCTGTGAGTGCTTTGATTATTTCTGTGCTCTATTTTTTGTTTTCTTTTCTTTTTTTTTTTTTCATTTTTTCTTTTTAAATTCATTTATTCGTTCCGTGTTGTTTCGGTTAGGGAGCTTGGAAACCCTATGGATTTCTTTTCGTTTAGGAACCTGACTGTCGATATTCCTTTTTGTTTTTTCTTTACATTTTTTAGGTTTGGAAGAATTTGAAGAATTGGTATTGCATTGCAGAGTTTGACTCGGTAAGAGAAAAATATTGAGTCTAGGGTTTTCCATTTTCTGGAGCTGCGATTGTTAATATAGGGATTTGAGTAGAATTGGGGCACTTGGATTTTTGTGGGAGCCGGTGTTGGTTGGTTGGTTGGTTTTTCATTTGTTAATCATTTGGGACGGGGAGGATAGGTGTGGGTTAGGGGATAATGTGTATACTGTGCATTATTCAGAAGTGGTCTCGGAGGGTTGCTACCATGTTGCCGTGGTTAGTGATTCCGCTGATTGGGCTATGGGCACTATCACAGGCGTTGCCCCCGGCATACCGGTTCGAAATCACGTCTCCCAGGCTTGCTTGTGTCTTTGTACTATTGGTCACGCTTTTTTGGTATGAGGTTTTGATGCCTAGATTGTCGTCTTGGCGGGCAAGGAGGAATCATATGCTTAGGGAGAGGAAGAGGTTTGAAGCAATTGAATTGCAGAAGTTGAGAAAAACAGCCACAAGAAGGTGTAGAAATTGTTTGACTCCATACAGGGAACAGAATCCTGGCGGCGGCAAGTTCATGTGCGCATATTGTGGTCATATTTCTAAAAGACCAGTCCTGGACTTGCCTGTGCCACCAGGCTTGGTCTTATCGAATTCTGGGATTTTGAAGGACTTGGTGGGAAGAAGTGGGAAGATATTGAGTCGTAAGGTTTGGTCTGATAGGCGGTGGACATGCGGACAGGATTGGATTGAGAATGGAAAATGGGTTGGTGGTTCTTTTCCTGCCAAGTCAAGTTACTGGAGCAAGAATGGCGGTGGGTTTTTTAACGGTGATCATTGTTTAGCTAAAAAGTCTTATTTTCGGGTGTTTGTATTTGCTTGCAAAGCATTGACTGCTGTATACACAAGTATCGTGTGGCTTTGTAGAAAGATTTTTAGGACTAGTTCTTCCGGGGATGATGCTTCTGTTGATGCTGAGCGGAGAGGAATGTTGGATAAAAGAGGTGAAAATGGAGGAAATTGTCAAGAGAGTAAAGGTGAGAAAGCTCGAAGAAAAGCAGAAGAGAAGAGGCAGGCTAGGTTAGAAAAAGAGCTATTGGAAGAAGAAGAAAGAAAGCAAAGGGAGGAAGTTGCTAGATTGGTCGAAGAACGTAGGAGATTACGAGATGAAAAGATGGAGGCTGAAAAAGAACGTGGGAAAGGATCTTCTCCTAAGGAAAGAGAAAGTAAAAAAGAGTCAGAAAAAAGACATCAGGAGAAGAAGAAAGAACGCGACAGGGGATCTAGCAAAAGCAACTCAGATGTAGAAGAACTGGAAAAAAGAGCAGGCAAGGAAGGTGAACGTAGCAAACGGAATGAGAATGATCGACGTGAACAAAAATTTGGGTCTGAATTTTCAAAGGCTCAAAACACTGAATCTGGACATGGTTTTAAGGGTGCTAATGCAAACAATCATAACCGTGGAAATAATGGAACTAGGTACTTTGACCGTATGAGGGGTACCTTTTTGTCATCTTCTAGAGCACTCACAGGAGGTGGCTTTTTTGGAAAGAGTCCATCTACTGCTCCAAAAGAACATAAATCTTGCACATCTATAGACTATATTCAGGCATATGCCCCTAGGAAGGAACCACCGCAGCCAGATCGCTTTTCTGTCAAACCTAATTTGAGTGGAGATGATAGGAACATCAATCATCCTGTAAGGCCATTTCTTGTCTATCACCTGATTTTCTTCTGCAAATGATTCTTCTTGTTAAACCATGTCCAATTTGTGTTCTATTTGTTCACCTGCTAAATTTGGTTCTTATATGAATTATTATGCATGTCACTGAACTTATTCACTTGCAATGGCATTGGAGGTACTATCTTTACTTGCACTAGCAGAAATTTCATTATGATATTTATTGTAATTGGTGTGATGCACTCTTGCCTTCGTTGCTTGCCCTAAAACTTCAAAGAACGCAAAATAATCAGATTCTTATTCTCATGAATGATTTCTATGGGTCAGTGGTGAAATGTGTGTACTAGGTTCTCACCTTTACCATGGACAATGCATCTATAATTAATTAATTATATATGTACTTTTCCTGATTTCTTTGATGCAGGTACTCATTGAACCTCAACCATGTACAGCTCCCAAAAAGTCATGGCAACAGTTATTTACTCGTTCATCTGCTGTTTCTCCACCCTCTAATTCGAATGTCATAAGGAGACCGAATGGAAAATCCCAAGCAGGAGTTCACAGTCCCCCTTATAGTAGTCACTCTCCACCAATGCAAGCATTTGACAATCCTATTAATTTCGGACTCCCATCTCCATTTAATTTGTCTTCTCTCACTTTTGGACCAACAAGTAGCAGCACATCTCTTCCATTATCATCTGAGACCATGTTTCCTCGTATAGGAGAACCATTATCTCCATTACTACCTGAGGAATCAGAGACTTACGAGGATCCCAGTTATGAAACAGATCCAGTAACTTTGCTTGGTCCAGTTTCTGAGTCTCTTGATAACTTCCACCGGGACCTAGGATTTGTGACAGATACAGGGTTGGAAAAATTGCCTGCAGCTAATAATTTGCCTGCGTCTTCTGAAGTGACGACTAGGCCATCACCAATTGAGTCTCCAATATCCCGACCTCGAGTTCCTGAGGAAAGGCATACTAACTCTTTTCTTTTCCCAACCACTCCTAAGGCTAAGGATTTGCCTAATGTGCCAAAGGATGCTTCAAGTGAGGGAAATGATGCAGGAGAATGGCAAATGTGGAAGAGCTCTCCTCTTGGTCAGGACAGTCTAGGTTTGATTGGTGGTTCATCCTCATGGCTTTTGAATCAGGAACCGAACAGATTGAACAGGGAGGAAATTATACCTCCTGCACCGCAGAAGACTATGGCTTCACTGTTTAAAAAGGATGATCAAGTCCTTCCTGGTGTTCATTCTCTTCAGAGTGGTGGCACTTTCAGTACTTCTATGCTTGGGAGTACTGATAGCAGGTTTTCAAATCCTTTAATTGAAAAGCAGTACACTCTGAAGCCTAAAGAGGAAGGCATACCAAATGAAATGATATATGGAAGTCCTAATGCTGGTGCTGCTAACCATCTATTTGAGTTATGTTCAACTAATTCTTGGGCCAAGTAAGTACAACCACTGACGTTCTTTTCTTATAGATTATAGATATTGTGATGCTTTATTTCTGTTAGGGGTGCAGTTATTGACTTATTGTCTTTTTTTTTTTTTTTTTTTCTGCATCAAATTGTCTGACATCTTTGCCTTATTCTGGTTTCCATTCTTCATGGTGATCATCCTCTAGCGTATTCTCTCTGGATTGAAGATAAAACAATAATTGATAGTTTTGTTGATGCATGTAATTGCTTATTAGTCTCTTTTCTCTAGACATGGTAGCAATCTTTCATTGGTATTTGCTGACATATCTATGAGGCAATATGGCTATTTTTCTATTCATAGATGTTATGTGTAGACTTCTCCTGATAACTGCAGAAGTAGGCCTGTTTTAGCAAGCATTGATTTTTAGGAGATAATGCATCTTTCTATTAAATTTATATCGGTGCTTATATTTAATGTATATTATTTGTATTAATATTTACAATATTGCTGTAGATATTTAGTTGCAAAATCATCTTCAGATTAATAGAAAAGTGACAACTTTACAGCTTCAGGAATTTTAGTCTTTAGAGTGTTAACTATAAAACAGTTGTAACAGCAGAGGGGTTTGTACTAGTTAGTTGATATGGATTATTATATAACAGGGAATGTATCATTTTGGCAGAATTACAACAAGCTTGTTAGCATATAACTATAAAGATAGGGATGTCTATAATCATAACAGGAATTTTAACCCTTGCAAATATAATGGTTATTATTCACAATTCTCTAGAAATTTTCAAATTCTCTCTCCAAGGCTAATTTTTCAAGTTCTCCAAATTTTTACACACTGCCCTGGCCAAGGCAGTGGTCTCACTGTAGAGTCAGCAACAGTGATACAAATAATGTTCTTCATTATTATGGAAATGTGTAAACACACAGAAAGTGAAAAGAGGTCAGGTGCTCAGATCTGCCCTTGTTGATAGCACTGGGGTAGGATGGTGTTAGATCTGCACTGAAAATGTCCAGCCTTCCGAAAACTAGTTCTGTGACAATTTTCCCTGTGATTCATATCTAAGCATGCTGGGTTGTTAGCACATTGATGGTTTTCATGAATTTAACAAATTAAAGCGGTTTTTACCTAAAACTTGACTGACCAATCTAGTTTTCAGAACCAGTTAGTGGCACCCATCTATAGTTATATTTTTTTGCTAGACATGGTGTGTTAGCAGCACTGTATTGGGATCTTGCAGAAATCACTGAATGCTTTTTTTCTGCATAGGGGCTCACTTTTGAGCATATATTTGCCCCAAAAGAATTGAAGCTGGGCAAACCATAAAAATAAAGTAGTCACTTTAGGCCAGATAAGTGATAAAAACTTCCTCAGTCAGTTAACAATGTAGCTCTAAATTTAAGTTCCCCACTTATTCTCTCCCTTCACCCCGTCTAGATGCCATTTTCGTGAACCAAAATAAGCAAATCACTTTGTTGCTGTAGTCTGTAGAGGGCTCCAATGATGGTAGAGCAAGCATGTAATGTTAATTATTATCGTCCGGTTATCCCAATACCCATTGTTTCCAAAATTTGAAGATGCATTTGAATTCGTATATGTTTACAGATCTGTTTATTTTCCCCATTTCTTTTGGTTTCACGTTTTTATTTGCTGAAATCTGTGCCTTCTTTCTGACTGACACCTACAATCTGTTTGATAGTAGTAAATCATGCTTGGTACAAATATATTAATATTAGATTAGATGGATATGGTTGATAGAATTATACTGAAGTTTGAGTTGGTTGTTGTATGTAGAAAGGAGTGGAGTGTCCATGGTACAGGAGAAAGCGTTGGAATCTCGCCAGTGTCAAATGTTGGTGGTTTATATTCCACTCCAAATGCACAGTCTCTTTGGTCATATGATTGAGAGAGAACAGAAGAGGGGAAAAAGAAAAGAGAAAAAAAAAAAAAGAAAAAAAAAAGAAAAGAAAAAAGAAGAATATGATAGAGGGACATGAAATATACCTCCCACTCTTGAGAGGAAAAGCAGCCTCTTTTGGAGGAGAGTTTAGAAAAACTGAAGCGATGTATCTTCCTTCTTTTGTTTACAAGGGAGATTTACTTTAGCAAAGCTTGATTGATACACACTTAACACATGCATGACTGGCTAACTATTCTCAAGACGAAAACATGATTCTTGCCTTCCATTGGTAAAGATCATATCTTTTCAAACATTAAAACTAACCATCCCTTTATCCTCTCTCCCTCTAAAGTAAATAATAAATGGTCTTAGTTTAGTACTTCCATTCCATTTTGCAAAGTAAATTAACAAATATAAAGTTGTTGACACGGTTATGAATATTCATGAACATTGAGAGATTAACTTGAAAATGAATTGAGAACCAAAAACCAATTCAAATATTCTCCAACTATGGAGGGGCATCATTTGGCAAGTATGACTTTGTTAAAGTAGAATTTTTGTAGAGTGATAAAAAAAAAATATAGTACAATTAATTATATTAACACGGTTAAATTTTTGAAGAGCCATAAGTCCAAGAAATTACAAGTAATCCAATAACCTACAATTATCACAATATTCCAAGACAGACTAAAAGAACATAAATGCATCATTCATCAAGAAATAAATTTTAAGCAGTCATAAATGGACACGGATTGCTGGCATTATACACGAATCTCCGCATTATAGCAGTCAATCAAATCAATAGCTTAGTAATGAGTTCCGAGTTTAAGCCAGTCTCTGTGGCGCTACTTGTGAGGAGTGTAGGTCTGGTTGTTCTTCGAGCTGCTGAGGTCGCGGTTGATCACCTTGCCAAGCCCAAACGATGTCTTGCAACGCTGGCCTTATGTCGTGCTTCATCATTTTCCAATATTCTAGTGTATCTCCATTCGACTTCTTCAACTCCACCAAATGGAAAGCGGGAGTAATTTCAAAGATTTCTGCATCGATGGATAGAACCCCTCGCCTTCCTAGTCTTGATCCTTCGAATCTCAAGAATCCTCCTTTCTTCTTCATTATCTTCAACTTTAGATGCTGAGCAATGTCTTCTAGCTTGGAGATGATGGCTTTTGCCGGTTGTCTGGATGTGAATCTATCCTCTCCCTTTTCATCATCTTCCACAAACAAACCGGACAAGTCAAAACCTGATGAAAATGAGATGATATCAAACGCGTTCAAGTTTTTGAGCTTTTCAGATTCTTGGTTTGCCTCTGTTGTCTTGTTGATGCTTTCACAAACATCAACTAAGGCCTCCTTTGCCTCAGTGTCTTTGGATCTAGAATCAGGACCCGCTTTCAAATCCAAACCCTTTCTGAACCAAGAACTTTCCATTATTTTGGCAATGGAAATCCTGGATTTAGGGTTTGGATCTAATATCTTCGAAATCAGTTTACGAGCATCGGGAGAGAACCAGTTAGGATACTTGAACTCAGCCTTCCTTATTTTTCGGTACATCTCCATCAAATTCGGATCTTGGAAGGGGAGATATCCAGACAATAGAACGTATAAGATCACCCCGCACGACCAAACATCAGCTTTTGCACCATCGTAGCCTTTTCTAGTTATCACTTCGGGAGCAACATATGCGGGTGTCCCACAAGTGGTGTGAAGTAAGCCATCTAGACACCTAGATTCCGCAAGGGCGCTCAACCCAAAGTCCGAAATCTTTAGATTACCGTTCTCGTCCAGCAGAAGATTCTCGGGTTTCAGATCCCGGTGGTAAACGCCTCGACTGTGACAGAAGTCAACGGCACTAATCAGCTGCTGAAAATATTTCCTAGCCGCATCTTCTTTTAGCTTCCCTTTGACCACCTTGTTAAAGAGCTCACCGCCCTTAACATATTCCATGACAAAGTAAATCTTAGTCTTGCTCGCCATAACCTCGTGAAGATGCACTACACTCGGGTGCTTCACAAGCCTCATCACCGAGATCTCCCGTTTGATTTGCTCCATCATTCCCGCTTTGAGAATCTTTTCCTTGTCGATGATCTTAACAGCAACGCTCATGCCATTCTTGAGATTCCTCGCACGATACACCTTGGCAAAGCTCCCTTGTCCTATCAATTTCCCTAACTCGTAATGTTGCAACGTAACACTCCCTTCACTCTCCATTTCTAGTACTCCCTACTTTGCCACTTAACAATACGATAATAGCAGTTCAACCGTCTTCACAGTGGTCGTGATAAGATATAATCTGCGCCCCGAAATATTTAGCCACCGCTGGCATTAGATAACAGAACCCGACATGGCTATACACCTGTCCAATCTCATCAAACGCATAATAGTAGGATGGCTCAAAACGAGCTCCAGCCTCAACCTCACCGAAAGACCTTCTAGCGTTCAAGCACATCTTTCTGCATTCCCCGTCCTTTTAAATGAAACTCGAAAGATCCAAAATACGAAAAAACCGTAACAAAAGAACAGGACCGTCACAAGTCAAGATCAGAATTATCAATGCCACCAAAATGTTAACCTGAAACAAATTAAACCACAGTAGTAACCTAAATCAATCTACTCAACATGAAAGAAAGAAACAACTTATGAGGGTAAAAATCATAGCTTTGTGAACAAAGAAACATAACATAAACATAATCTCCAGGAATAATTTAAACAACAGTGATAATTCTATCCATGAATCAAACCCTGCAGGTCATATGAATAAGGTTAAAAATCACAGCTTTCTAAATACCCACAAATTTCTGCTAAACAATCAAGCGTTCAGAACGACAAGAACGCATAAACAAACGAAAAACACAACCCCATCGAGGTTAACGCTATTAGAATTCACGGGATTAATAATTAAAGTACGTAATATTTGGCTTTTCCTCCCTCAGATCTCTCAAGATCTCAGAAAAGTCCAGAGAGAGAGAGAGAGATGCAGAGCGCAAATGACAAAAACCCAAAAATTCACAAAACAAAACACAAAATCTACCCAAAGAATTAAGAATCACTGCATAAGCTCACATGAAACAACAAGATTATGGGAGCTGAGGGAATACACAACTGGTAATAAAAAAAAAAAAAAGAAAACAACAACAACAATAATAAGCTTATAGGATTGAAACTCCTTACCTCGAGAGCGATATGAAAAGGAAAATCAGGCCTCCAGGCTGAAACGCTCGATCGATCTTTCTTGGCTGTGTGGGTATGTGTATGTATATGTATTAGTTAGCGAAATACGGAGTGATAATATTGTGGGCAACAAAACAGCAGTCTCAGTATTCAAGCCCATATATTATATTATATTGCGGTTGTATAGTTCAAATGGAATATTCCCCGATAATGACATTTTTAATTCCTTTATTTAAGATTGTAATGTAAAATCAATTTTTCAATTATTTGAAATAGGAATCAGCCTTAAATTAGTTACAAAATAAAACTATACCTCAAAATGTAATTAACTTACAAAAAATGTAATCGGTGTTTCGAAATCTCCTTAATTGTGTGCGCTAACATACGCGTATATGAAAAGTACAAATAAGTCATTAAATTAAAAAAATATAAATAAAAAAGTCAAATAAATCATTAAACTTTATACATAAAATTTAATTAGAGAATTGAATTTTAAAATGTTGAAATTAAACACAGCAACTTGTTATTTTTTGTACATATGATCGACTTTAATAACTGATTACCCACTGGTAATTAGGATTCCGACAACTGAAAATGGTGATCATTGAACGATTGCCAGTCACATTCTTCCTCAAATAGAAAAAGATAACTGTCGGTCAATTAACCTCTTAAATTTAAAAAAAAAATACAATTAAACACATCAACTTATTATTTTTGTGCATATTGACCCAATAGCTAGTTATCCACTTATTTTGGTTTCTGAAACCCTAATTACCGATGGATTAAGGATGTCAATTGAACCCGCACCCGACGGGGAACCCGATTCCCCGCCCCTACGGGGACGGGGATGGGGATAGAAATAGGGGATCGGGGATGGGGTCAATTTTGAATTCCCCGCCGGGGGCGGGGGCGGGGATGGGGAGTACTCTCCCCGCCCCGCCCCGCCCCGTCCCCGATATATATATATATATATATATATATATATATATATATATATATATATATATATATTGCCACACAACACACACAAATGTAGTACTTTGTATACAATATATATAATTTTAGAAGTATTCTTGTCATTGTATGTCATGCATATTTAAATAAAATGTTTAATTGTAAAATATTGAATACAACTTTGAGTTGGGGATGGATATATATGCGTTATTTATTTAAATGTTTTTTAATGTTTAATTTTATTTTTTTTTATAACTTGTTAACGGGGTGGGGATTCCCCGTCCCCGAATAATCCCCGTGGGGATGGGGATGGGGGGAATTTTTCATTCCCCGGCGGGGATGGGGATGGGGACGGGGAATGGGAAGAAAGTCGGGGATGGGGATGGGGGGTATGTCCCCTGCCCCCACCCCGCCCCGTTGACATCCCTACGATGGATAACTAACTATAGGCCTAGATGTTAAAAAGTGTCAAACTGATACAGAGTATGATTGTAACATTTAAAGTTTAATGATTTAATTACTTTTCCACATAAAATTCAAGAGGCTATTTAATCATTTTATAAAATAAAAATAAAAATAATCCATCTCAATATATTATATCAAAATTTACAGAATATCTCTGTCATTTTCTCATTTCTTTTTACTACTAATCAATTATATATTTATATATTAGCCGACTCAATGAGTCTCATCCCAATTGCATGTCACCATATCATTGGCAAAGACGCAAAGGACAACATTACTGGGTGTGTATTTAAAATACATAGTATATATTATATAGACTACTCCATACTATATAGGCCAAAATACAATTATTCAATTATTATTTATTACAAAGATATATTATACATAACCTAACATGGAAGAAATATACTCCGTATTTGATTATTACATGCATGAACAAAGTATATGCTTTGACAAATACTAAATAATTAAATTTAAAGTTTAAATTATGTATTGAAATAGAAGGAACATGATTCTCGTATTAGAATGTCATAAGTTCATCTAATGTATACTATCAAATAATAATAGTGATTATATATATATATATATATATATATATATATATATATATATATATGGTTTGGGTTACAACTGAGGTAAGGTTGATTCGATAAGATCGTACACTAATTAATATATTTTGTGCACATAATTAAATTAATCAGTAGCAAATTAAAGTTAAGGTCAATCATGGTGGGCAAGCTAATGATATGAGAGTTTTTTGTCTCTATTAATCATTTAATCCTTTGAAGCTGCTAAGGAATTTCTAGAATTTCTATTTCCATTTATTTAATAACGCGGTTTTGCTTTATGTTCTTTATTGATAGTGACAATTAAATTTATAGTCCATAATTTTAGTGATTTTTTTTTTTTTGAAAACCCATAATTTTAGTGTATTATTTTAAAAGAGGAAAAAAATATAAATTATAACCATGCATGCACGTACACTAATATGAGTAGTTTATATTTTAAAAAAGAAAAATTTGAATATTTTTTTTGGGAGAATGGGGGTTACCCAACACACTAGGCTATTGTAGCCAGATTTGAAGAAGAAACACCATTCAGGTTCTGGATATCTCTAGTGGCCATCGGCTGATTACTAAATTTGAATATTTATACTATCAGAGTGACGTTAAGATGTGGTGAATGTTTAACTAATATGATTTATAAAAACTTTTAAGTGTATTAATTACTTTTCAATTTGGAGATACAATAGTCTTACATGAAATAATATTATATACAAGTAATTTCTCTTAACTATACTTATTGTTTTATAGAATGTATTGTTAATTTTTTGGATGTATCCACGGTGGAGGGTTTGGGTGAGACAACTGGCCTAAAGATTTAAGGCTGCTCCATACCAAAGTCAATGATTGAATCTTGACCTTTGGTTAAGGATGTATGAGTCTCTTCCACTCAACCACATCTCATGTTATAATGTAGTGATAATTAATATTAATTCATTTACTTTATGTGATTTATACTTGCTTGAAATTGTATAAATATTTGGAAAGTAATATTATATATACATATTTTTACTGTTTACACTCTAATGTATACTTATGTGCCTGAAATAGTTACTTAAACCATGATTATTCACTATATCACTATAGCTATTTATACAAAACTATAACACACTATCTCTCTCTCCCTCTCATCGCCTAGGTGATTTGCCTAGAATCTTTCGCGCCAACTCAATAATAGGTTGTTAACTTCAAGCTTTCTCCTACTATTTAAACAGACGAGTGTAATATTTTGAGTTGGAACCGAAATTTATGTTATATCTTGTCATTATGATGGATTAATAAAAAAGTATACTATTATTTTTATTCTATTTAATTTATTACCAATAAAGTATTGATATATTGTGAGTATACATATCATTTTCGTGTTTGAAAATGATTTTAGAATGCATTGCTGTTTTTATTTGAATATACATCTAATCCATAGAAAATGGAAATAAATAAAGTTGATTTGAATTTTGTAATTTTATGGTAACGGTGCTCGGAACAAACAGGGCCCATTAACAACGGGTAATGCGCGTGCCGTCATCCAAGTAGCACGTGACACTTGGAGGGACTGAACAAGATTGATGTATGTGACTGTTCTTATTACAGAATAGTTTCTTTTTTTTTTTTTTTGAATCAAATATAACTTTCATTAATTTAAATCGACAAATAGTTCGTTAACAATAAAAAGCCGGAGGGGTAGTAATCCATTCCTGACGTATAGGTAAAGAATAGGCCAGCTTCCATAGCAAGGTTATGGACAACATTGTTCGCAGTAAAATTACCATAAGAGATAGCAACGTCGGTAAGAGAACGAAACATATCTTTAATATCAAGAAGCACTAAATCGCTTGATGACACATCTTGATCGTGGTTGAGACCGTGAACAATCTGCAAAGCATCACGTTCAATCTGCACTTTGTGGAGGTCCCTTCTCTTGATCCAGCTCAATGTTTCCCTAATGGCCAAAGCCTCAGCCTCCTTTGGTGAAGAAACTCCCGCGACTGGAATGGTTGATGCCGCCAAGAACTGCCCGCTATGATCTCTCAACACCCAGCCAAACCCCACTCGGAATAGCTATTTGTTGAAGGGGGTGTTTGGTTGGAAGAAAGGAATTAAGAGATAAAGAAATTAGGAAGGAAATGAATTATAATTCAGTGAAATTCAAATTACATTGTTTGGTAGGTAGGAATAGAATTATTGGGGATGAGAATAAAAAAAAATGGTATAAAGACTAAAATATGCTCGTGTAATAATAATAACAGTCAATAAGGATATTTTTGTCATTTCTTTCATTTTTCCTTTCCCCACAAGCATTGAATTGTAATTCAACAAAATGATGGAATTGTAATTCTCTCTAACCAAACACGGTAATTGAGGCCTTTATTGAATTACAATTTAATTACAACCATGGTTGCAGTAGGCGCTAGGCGCTAGTCGGGCGGCCGGGCAGCGCCTAGCGCCTAGGCGGCGCCTAGGCGGCGCCTAGGCGGGCACCAAAAAAAAAAAAAAAAATAGTAACAGACTTGTAGTTCGACAATTTTAATGAGGTTGTTTTCAACGTTCACTCAAATAACACATCTAAATAAATGAAATAATGATAATTTATAAGTCATAATGTCATAATAATATTAAAATCAATAATTAATGAAAGACGACATCGGTCAAAATCGAACAAAATTGGTCAAAATCGGTCAAAAACGGTCAAAATCGGTCGACTCGGCCGAGTTGGCCGAGTTGACCGACTCGGCCGAGTTTGGCCGCCTAGGCGGCCGGCCGAATTTTGGCCAAAACTCCAAGGCTCGGGGCCGCCTAGCGGCTAGGCGGCCGAGTTTTGCAACCTTGATTACAACTAAATTACATTCAACCAAATGCCTGATAAGAGCAAGACTGAGCTTTTTGGTTGTCGACAAGAGAATGAAGGAGAAGCCAATAATAATAATAATAATAATAATAATAATAATAATAATAATAAACAAAGAAAAAGTAAATTGCAGGCAATGTTGGGGTTCAACCTTTGAATAATAATAATAATAATAATAATAATAATAATAATAATAATAATAATAATAATAAATTATGCACTTAGAGTGCGCGTGAGATACATGTGCCTGTTAGGAGCGTAAGTTAATTAATTATTTTGTTTCTTTCATCTATATTTGCATGAGGCAATAAGTTAACTAACGAACAACATAGTTAAATAGATGAAAAATATTAGAAAAGTTACGTTGTTTGAATGAATGTTCCAATTGGAAACCTATTTGATAGATGCAGAAAGTTAACTAAACTTGGTTGGAGTGTTCAAGTGAAGCATGTTTTTAGGGAATAAAATCAAGTTGTTGATTTCTTAGTAAAATGATCTATCGGCTGACTTATAAGTTTGAATATTTGAGCTAGTCACATGAGGAAATCATTCAAATCGTCTATGAAGTTGTTGTGAGTCTCCCTAAAGATTGCAGGGTCCAAAGTTACAATTAGTGGTGTTCCTCGTGTTGAGGTCTTCCCCTTGTCTTTGATTAAAAAAAATAAATAAATCTAATCGTATTTTTGAATTTATATAGTTTAATTTGTTGACCTACTTAAGTCATTTATCAATTTTCTAATAACAACATAATTAAAATGTAGCCACTTTAAAATTTATGAAATAGTATTTTATCATTCTTGATGTTCTACCCAACACAAATAATAATAATCGTAATGTGTAGTTTTAATCAATTTGTTGTAATTGTGTCTGTTTAACTCCTAACCGATGAATTGATTAACATTGCAGGAAAGATGTAAAGAGAGAAGGGAGAATGATAGACAATATTGTAGGAGTAATCTCCATTTCATATCATCATCCATAGTACAAGAGGGGATACGACATATATATATATATATATATATATATATATATATATATATATATATATATAATATACTAGTATTAATAACAATAATAATGCTGGCTGTTACAAACGTTATAACCATTACAATAATGTCCACTTAATTATCATTTATAACACCCCCCCTTGGACATTATTTGACCACGACCTTGCATTATTATTGTTTTTTTTCCCCAAAATTTCGATCCATCTAATAATATTTACGGGTCTAATTTGTATTGTTTAATGAGTAATTCTATGCGTACTTTCATTTTTCTCCTTATAATGTATCATAGTTTGAATATTACTTAATAAAAAGGGTAGGTCATGCTTTTTATTTATTTATTTTTCATCATCCAATAAAACTCAAACACTTGGTGCGAGTTATACTCCATGAAGTACATCTACCATTTTCCTTGTTTAACATAGTAGGAGAGAGTAGTCTAGGTGAGAACATGTTACCACATGAAAAATAAGAATTGATTCGTCTATTTGAGTATATTAATGGTTGATGTTCTTGAAAAATAAAGGGAAAAAATGTTGAGTTCATTCTATAAATATTTAAAATTGAAAGTTTACGATAATTATAAATTTAATATTGTAAATTTTTTTTTTATTAAAACCTTAATAAACTATGATAGGTGATTAAAATCAGTAAATCACCCCTATTTTTTTTACAAGAAAAGCACTGTTTTGACTTCCTTTCTACTCACAAGACCTGAACATACACTAGAAGCAAATCAGAACCCTTTTGAGTATTTCATAAACCAAACCCATTTATTTCATTTCTTCAATTTATAAATTTTATATCTCTTTAAAACTTTCATTTCTCAACAAATTTAAATTTATTAACTAGAGTAGGAGTTATTGTTCAGGTACACAGTAATTGCAATAAGTAATAAAAGTGTTTAAAAGGGATGACTGAATGGAAAGAATATGTATGATTGTTGAAAGTTATGAGTATCTCGGTCGAATCCATTATACATCCTGACATTACTTGGTGTAAAATTTTGGGCAAGAAAAATAACAAGCCCGTCTAGCTCAGTTGGTAGAGCGCAAGGCTCTTAACCTTGTGGTCGTGGGTTCGAGCCCCACTGTGGGCGCAGTTCTTTTTTTTCCCCCCTTTTGTGTTGGGTTCGGGCCTCTCGATGGGCTTTGATTAAAAAATAAAAAAACTAAACAGGCCTTATACCACTAGGCCCGGATCCGGATTCCATCAACCCAACCTTTTTGTCATAGTGTTTTTCCCTCTACCGCAAACCCTAGTTGCTCACCTTCTGCAATGGTGAGCTTTTTTTCTTCAATGTGAAGGCTCCGAAGAAGGGTGTGAAGCTTCCAGTTGCTGCTTCCAAGAAGAAGCCGGAGAAGGTCGTGAACCCGTTGTTCGAGAAGCGGCCGAAGCAATTCGGCATCGGCGGGGCATTGCCACCCAAGAGGGATCTGACCAGGTTCGTCAAATGGCCTCAGGTTGTGCGTATCCAGAGGAAGAGACGGATCCTCAAGCAGCGCTTGAAGGTTCCACCTGCCCTCAATCAGTTCTCCAAAACCCTTGATAAGAACCTTGGTCAGTTTGCTTTTCCCTCCGATCTCTATTATTACCTTGTTTCAACTGTCTAGAATCACATTTTATGACCTTGTAGATATTTCATCAGATGCCTCTGTTTTAATTTTTTTTTTTTTTTTTAATGTTTTATGCATATGAGAGTGTATATATATATATATATATATATATATATATATATATATATATATATATATATATATATATATATATATATATATATATATATATATATATATATATATATATATATATATATTAACTTGTTCATGAATATTGGCATATAAGTTCAGTATAGGATATTATTGCAGCTCTATGTTTGATAGTTGTGTGAATTTGGATGAATTTTGAAGATAGTCTGTTACTATTTGCTTTCATGATTTGAAAGTTGCTTACTTTTGTGATTGTTCACTTTGGTTGGACTGGTTTGTTCATTTTTAGTTTTAAGAAAGTCAGTAGTTTTGTTTGTGTACCATTAATGAGCATTATACTTAAGCATTGGTTGGACAAGGTGTCATTTGTAGCTATGATAATGATTCTGTAATTTTGTGCTTGATGATAAATTGAATGTGAATCTTTTGAACCTGCAGCCACAAATCTCTTTAAGATGCTCCTGAAGTATAGGCCTGAGGACAAGGCAGCAAAGAAGGAGCGACTTCTGAAAAGAGCCCAGGCTGAGAGTGAAGGGAAAACTCCCGAAATCAAGAAGCCTATTGTTGTCAAGTATGGGCTTAAGCACGTCACTTATCTTGTGGAGTAGGTTTCACCCTCGTCTATATTATTTATTCTCTATCTATTAGTGTAAAAACTATTACTAAAGGAAGTTTCATTGTAGAACAAAGCACAACTGGTGGTCATTGCTCATGATGTTGACCCCATAGAGTTGGTGGTCTGGCTTCCAGCTTTGTGTAGGAAGATGGAAATCCCTTACTGCATTGTCAAGGGAAAAGCAAGATTGGGTTCTGTAAGTATCCTTTGTTTAGATGTTGCGTTTCTCCTTTTCTTGTTAACCTTGTGGGCATTTATCTTATATATATGCAACCTTTTTACAGATTGTCCACAAGAAGACAGCTTCAGTTTTGTGCCTGACTTCAGTCAAGAATGAGGACAAATTGGAGTTCTCCAAGATCTTGGAGGCCATCAAGGTCTGAAATTTTAAATTTTGTAAATACTCTACAATTTTTATTTATGCTCTTGGAATTTCCTTGTGTTCAATTGGCTTTCTCTGTTATTTTGTTGATTCAGGCCAACTTCAATGACATATATGATGAAAACCGCAAGAAATGGGGTGGTGGTATCATGGGCTCGAAATCTCAAGCGAAGACAAAGGCCAAAGAAAGGCTTCTTGCCAAGGAGGCTGCTCAGAGGATGTCTTAGTTTGTATTGTCATTTAATCATTATAATATTTCCTGTTATAAGGTTTAGACAAATTTCAAACATTTCTTTCTCTGGTAACGAAGTGAATTAAATTTTTGGTTGTCTTCTGAATTTTGATAGGCTTGTTTAGCCTTTGGATTTGAGTTGTTATTTACTAGTACTTAGAAATGAAATGCCTTTACTATTTGACATTTTCAGCTAGCAATTACGTATTGCTTCACAGCATTTTGATCATATTTGATAACATAGTTAATTTATTAGTTAATTTTAGCTTTGTTTGGTTATTATTAGATGTTTGATTTGGTTAAATAGTTATGAGTGTTTAATTAATTAACTTTTTGTATCAGTTTATTGTTCCAAAAGTTGCTCAAAGTGCAAAAAATCATTTTTACTCAATCAGCAAAAACAATTATTTACTGAGCTACCAATGTAAGGAAGGTTAATTGTCACTTAGAATTAGTTGATTTTACGTTAAGAATTGCTAAATGTCAATTGAGCAAAATTAAGTCTTTAATATGCATGCAATGTACGCACTAGAAGATGGCAAAGTTACAAATGCCTTTAGTACTCTAATGTCTTGAAACATTAAACTTTGAGGTCTTCTTCTTCTTGGCTTGTTTTGTCACAAGAAGTGAGATTCTGGAGAAGCTAAACTTCTTTCTCTTAGAGGGAAGAACTTCATGTGCATTCTCTTTCTCGTCTTTCAAACCAGGCATGCTGTTTAGCTTACCAAACATTTGGCCAAGTGAAAGTGAAACTTTCCGCTTTCCATTGCCCTTTTCTACGCGTTTTCCATTCTCAAATTCTTCGGTTATAAACAGTTTCCTACTCAATATTTGCCCTATTGATATCGTCGACTTAGCTGGTGGTGCATCGTTACTAACGAGAGTGAGACCGTTCACATCAAGAAGGGAAGGATCTTTCCTGTGCTGAAGTGACTTGGAATTCTTGAACTTGGTTGAGTTCTGGACAGTATGTTTTCTTTGGCAATGATCAGATCTCCATTTGCGCATGGCTTCTTCCACTTCCAGTTTACCTTGATTGGCAGCCTCGACTCTGCTCAGCGCTTCTTCTAAACCCGCCTTGCTTAGTTTAACTTCTTCTGTGGCTTCCTTGACCTTCTTCAAGATTTCTGTTTTAGCAACATTGGCTTCATCAACTAGAAGCATTGCGCCAATGGCTCTCTTACAAGCCTCATCTGCATCTCGAGCTCTGGAGGTCAATGCGGAGTATTCCTCCAAGGTAAGGGCTATTCCATCCTCGGGTTTTCTTTGAGAAGTTGTAAACAAGTTCTCGCTGTTCGAGAGGGCTTTGATCTCTGCAAGAGCAACAGACTCGGTGGCCCTAGCGGCTTCTTTCATCTTTTTAGCTGCAATCAGCTTGATCTCTGCAGTCTTGATCCTAGCCTTCGTCTGTTCAATCTCGAACATAGCTAATAGAACCTCTGATTTTGTAGCTTCGCCCACCTTTTTAAACTGTTGTGTCTCCGAACACAGCCTCTGAAGCTCCCTCGTGACATCCAGGGGCTCACGAGAACCTTGCACCAGCTCCAGATTTCGCTTCGTTTGATTCAACTCTTCCTCAAGAGACGAGACCTCGATGAAATTCGAAGCTAGCCTTTTCTTGGTCTTCTCGAGCAAGATCCTCTCTTTCTCTATTTTCGCGTTGTATGATCCAACCGTGGCTCGAATGTCCACAAGATCACGCGTAGTCTTGCTTAAATTAAATTTCGCTCGTTTCAACTCCAACAATATGAGACCAGGGGCCGACGATGGACACACATTCAAACCACACCCATCACTAATTCCCACAAGATCACTGTTTCTTTCCTTCGAATCAACATCGAGTGAAGCACCGAGCTCAGATGCCTTCTGCAGCTTTACTTTCAGTTCTTCCATGGTAGTCTTGGCGCTTTCGAGTTCTTTTAGGACAGCAAGCGTTTCCCTTTCTTTAACAACCAAATCCCTTTCCAACTGCTTAGCTTGCTCCTCCACTTTTGCTATGTCAACCTCGCAGGTAACCTGGTTTCATCCAAGAAATGCAGAACAAAGAAATCAAATGAAGCAATGCCAGAGAGACCAACAAACAAACTACCTGCAATTTTTGCTATATATGAATCTAATCCATACACAAACATTTCAAGGACACCAAAAACAAGATTACAGGCCAATTTTGTTTCTACGTGGTAACCAATTAAGTAGCATTCTTGATCATTAGCTAAGCAGCAACATGGAAAGAAAAACCATTCATTTCTTAATAACAGTATCACATTTTGGCCTGGCGACTTCACATAATGACAAAAAGGAGAAATACAAAGAAAGATTATGAAAAAACAAAATTAAAGCGCAAAAAGACAAATAATGCGAGTGAGGGGAGACACCTGGGAATCACGGCCGGACGGGTTGTGGGCGGTGGGCCTCCAGAAACCTATGCCACCGAACCGAGAGGCCGCCTCTTTCACCGACTCAAACGGAACCGAAGTGTCGATCTCCGCCCTAGAAACCTCCGAATTCGGGTCTCCGGTGGCTCCCATCTCCGGACCCGAATCAAGTCTTGCTCCATGGGTCTCTCCGGGAACAGATGCCCCAAACACAACCTCGCCGTTCTGCGGATCCATTACAAATAAACCCCAAACAGTGGCAAGAAGATAACAATGGAGGTGAGAAAAAGTAAAGAGAAGAAAGAAAATGGAAATGGGGTAGTGGGCAGGATTGGAATTTGGAAGCACAGAAGCAGTGAAGTGGAAAAGTGTAACGTTGTACTATGTTGGTCGGTCGGTCGGTAGGTGAAGAGGTTCTTGTCCGGTGGGGGAAGTATGGTTTGTAACGTTACGTGATTATTCATACTGCCACTGTAAAAAGGTTGGCAAAATTGCAAAAAGGAAAAGAAAAGCCGAAAAGGACTTTACCAGTTTAAAGAATTGCCAAATGGGAGAGGGAAACAATTTCAATTTGTTGACGTTCAATTTTTTTGTTACCATTGTTATCTTTAGTTTCGATCATTATTTGTAATTTTTCAATTTTAATTTTCTTGCCCTACTTAAAATGATTATTTTACTCTCTCAATTATTATTATACTATAATAACTAACTCAATCCCTTAATTATATACGTGAGTTAATTCCCAAAATGGTCCTCCGATTATGACATTTTTCCAAATTAGTGACCTGTCGAATTATATTTGACCTGCCAAATATGACTAACTCAATCTCTTAATTATATTTGACATGCCAAATACTTCTCCAAATTAGTGAAAAGATTTTCCCCAAGGGAAAATGGAAATTTGGGGAAGAAGGGGAAAATCACAATTAGCTAGATTTATATTCTTTAATTTGGAGAAAATCTTTTCACTAATTTGGGGAAGTAATCGGCAAGTCAAAACTTTAAACAACAAACAATATAAAATGTCCTTTTTATCCTTCGTTTTAACACAACTTAACACCAAATCTAACAGATGACCATTTTAACTTAAAATCAATAGTCGGAGGACCACATTGGGTGCAATTAAAAGTCAATGAACCAATTTGAAAAAAAATGCCATATGAAGGACCATTTTGGGAATTAACTCTTATATATGTGACCCCATTTAGTCTTTAACAACGCGTTTGGTTGGTAGGGAGGAATTGAAGAATGAGAAGGGAATGAGTGATATAAATACTAAAATGTCCTTTTGTAATAATAAGAAAAAATTGCACTTTTCGTCACTATGCTACATTGTAATTGTAGAATTTGTCTCTAAGTGTTGGTCATGCTCACTTTTTTCCCTAAATTATCCTTGACGTGGCACTTTTCGTCCCTGAGTTATACTAAAATTGCAATTTCGTCCCTAATGTTTTATTAGTAAATGGACAAAAAGTGCAATAGCAATAACTTAGGGACAAATTCTATAATTTCCCTATAACTTAGGGACAAAAAGTGTAATTTTTCCTAATAATAATAATAATAATAATAATAATAATAATAATAATAATAATAATAATAATAATAATAATAATAATAATAATAATCTAAAAACATAATAAGTGTCAATACAAGTTATGTCCTTGATTTTTGTCTCTTTTTTTATATGCTAATAAATGTATACATTGTGCTTTAATTGTTGTACATTCATTTGCATTGGACAAAATCACTCTTACACCGTTATAACACCGTTAGTTTTTAATATATCTACCAATCTTACCATACACCTACATCTATCATATCTTTTTTCTATTTTTAATTATCATTTTATTAAAATTATCATATATTAATTATACATTATATTTTAATTAAATATTTATATGAATGTTAAATTATATATGTGTACCATATATATATATATATATATATATATATATATATATATATATATATATATTTGTTTTGATCACTATATTATTCAAATATATGATAATTTAAAAGTATCATCAGTTTAACAAACTGCAAAACATAATTTTAACTAATTTTTTAAATTTTGTTACTTACAAATATTTTAATATTGGGCATAAGTTTTCGTGCATCGCGCGTACAAAATGCTAGTAATAATAATAAGGGGAAATGACATTTTTTCTTCTTGAATTATATATATACTTATAGCACTTTTTTTACCCTAAATTATTCATCTATCCACATTAGCCTCCCTAATTATTCTAAAAGCGCCAGTTTTGGTTTTGGTTATGATTTAGAAAAAGAACCCAATATTTAATTTAGATTTCAATTTATTAAAATTACAAATTAAAAAATTAGATCCTGAATCTAAAACCGACATACGGTTCGAAATCGGAACAATTACTGACAATAGCTTAAAATTAGAATTATAATATTTTCAAATAGTTTATGTTTTTAAATATTATAAAAAATTAATTATAAATAATTTAAAGTAAACCTCGTTAATTAAACTAAACATATAAAAATATAAAATATAAAAAAAGTTGTTGATGTTACCGGGCGGATTCAATTCCGTAGATATATCAAACAAGATGAGTTGGCCAAGTCCTAAATCTTCAATGGTTGGGAGGTGCTATGGATGAATTGACAAGAGTCAGCAGTAAGAATATTCAAAGGCTTATATTATTCCATATAATAATTATATAACGAGCAATAATACATAAATTTAAATTTGTTATCACTCCATATTCAGATGTGACGTGTTTAAATTGATTTAAGAAAAAAAAAAAAAAGAGTGTAAAGGCTGGGAAGAAATGATACTTGACATTAATGAGCTGAGGAAGAAATTACAGACTATGTATAGTGATACAACAGTGCAGAATTATGGAGAAGTTGTAGTTAAGTTAGTCTACAAGAATGAAAATAAAACACATAAAACACTAAATATAATCTCAGCCACAAGTACGCTTAATAGAGTCATGGTTTAATTTTTATTCTTTTTTATTTTCTTCTTTCAATAAAAATATAATATAACATGACGGGGAGTGCATAGAGTTTGAGGAAATTAAAATAACCTCAAGATGACTTTAGAGTCGAGGCCAATGTGAGCTCAGCTAGACGAAGCTTGAAGTCAATGCCATGCCGGGAGGATACGAGTTCAATATGATTATTATTGGATACTTTAGACCCGACCCGATCTGCATGTAGACTGCTCAAATCGCATGGTTACGTTGTTTCTTGAAAGAAGTTAGGGAGTTAGTATAAATACTTTGTACATAATTTAAAAAGACAAGATGCTACTTCTTGCAATTACATAATCGATCATTATACTAGACAAACAATTAATACAAAGAATAAGACATTTTCCTTATCCTCTACCATTACATTATAATTATAAAATAGACAAAGTTACAATATATTATGACATGCACAGGCAATAATACAAATTTCATATAATTCTCACTTACAACGGATTAACGCAAAACAACATATTCATAATAATCCAACTTTAATTTTGGCTTCTCCACGCACGTTTCCCTTTAACCCAATTTTATTTGGTAACTCTCATGGTTGAAGCTTATAATATACTATTATTGCAATTTGGATGCATGGAACTCAATTGACTTTCCCACAATTCTTCCTAATTTGGCCCCTTGTGCCCGTGAGAGGACCAAGATTACTCATTTTCAGCATTGCATCTGCAAAATCTTTGGCAAAAATGAAAGGATTAAAGGTATACGTCTCGACTATGGAATCTGTAGAGCCTCCATTATAGAGTGCTTGGTCAGAATGAAAGAGTCCCTTTTGCTTCAACAAGTCCCTGAAATAACAATTGTCAAACGTGGTCGGAGTGGGATCCATTGGAGTAAGGTTGTTGTCACCTCCGCTTTGAGGACATATTGCTTGCAACGCTGATGCAAATAAGGGATCTATGTTGGTGTCGTTGTAGATTCGAGCTCGAAATGTTGTGCACCTAGCTTTCCCTATTGTGTGGCCACCTGAGAGAGCAACCAATTCCCTAGCACTAAAACCGTGTTTGGAGAAAGAAGATATGAGTTGGTTGAGATTAAGAGTTGGTGCAGGAAGGTTGTTGTCAGCTGCACTTTTACTTGCTGTGGTTGAGTCTCGTCTCCCTAATAAAACATTCCAACTAGGACCGCCAAGCTGTAATATTGTCACAAATGAATGAATAGTTTAGTAATTTTGTCCAATTAGACTTTAATTATGATTGGTTTCATGATCACTAATTATTACCACAACAGTTGAGTCTCGAGCAGCAACAGCTACAATATCAGCACAAGATACAACGCCGGGACAACAACTCTCAAGTTTAGCTTTAATGTTGTCAATCACATTAAGTCCTCTTATTGAGTTGTTATTTGCTTTTGAAGTTTGTTCCCCGGTGAAAGTTGGTGTATCATCCAACAAAATCGATCCATCACAGCCCTGTATCAAATTTACAAAACAAACAAAAATCAATACTACATCATAATTTATTAAATTATACTACGTAGAGAATATAATTGAGTAAAAACTTGCATTGACAAAGCAGTCATGGAAATGGAGACGAAGCAAGGATGCTCCCATTCGAGTCTCAGCCTGAATAGCAGATATCACACCCGATTTGATAATGGAAAGAGCGTTGGGACAAGATTTTGAGTAAAAATTTGCAGACAATTGAGCAGAACTCAACCCACAGAGAATCAAGAAGAGTAGACATGAGAGTATGAATGGAGAAGGAATTGTAGTCTTCATCATGACTACTATTGTATGAGAAAGGAGAAAGGAAAGAAAGTTTTCCAAGTTTCAACTTAGAAACAAAGAAAGAAATGGTGGCTTGGCTTGTGGCCTAGTGCTTCTTGTCTTCATATTATCATATATTTATAGTAGAGAATTAAACCATCCATGATGTAACTTTACTATAATACGATAATATAATGTTTCTCTTATGAATACTTAAACATGTTTAGCTTTAATTTGTGAAAGAAACCACAGTAGAATTAGTCAATGAGAGAATTGAAGTTAAGTTGATGGATGCTACAACTTGGAATTGAAATGCAAGTCTTCAATAATTCAATTAAGGGGTCATTAATTAGTATGCTGATGATTAAGTGAAACGCGTAAAGCCCTCATTGCCTGGACATCATGTGATTAATTACGACATTATTATTTGACAATTTCTTATTTTTCATCAAAGAAAAGTTTCATGTCATTTTTAATATCATGTCTTAATTATAGGAAACTTAGATGTTGAACCTATGGGCCAAGGAAATGACAACTAATAATGGATATATAAAATTATCTTATGGAATGAAAAATTCATTTTAGTCTTTGCATCTTACATTTAGTCAATTTAAATAGATATTTTTTGTTATGATTTAAATGATAATTCTGAATAAGTCAAAAAAATTTACATCATTTAAGAATATATTGTCACGTCATTTTTATTTTTAATGATGAGCAATTATACTCTAATGCAATTTACGTTTTAATCAATGCAGTAATGGGATGTCTTGACATAGATGGCATGGCATTTTGATGAGATTAGTGTAAGAAGTTCAACTTCTTTTCTCTTTCTTTTTTTTTTTTTTTTTTTAATCATTTAAATTTTAATTTTAAGCAATTAGTAAACTTCATATATAACATGACTTCTCATGTTAATAACATGTAAGTTTAACATAAGGTAATATTACCCTTATTATATTACTATTTTAATAGTGTAAAGAAATGCTAGCCAAATTCATGACCGATGCATGAAGTATTGATCTAATAAAGGCTGGGTGAATAATTAGGCTTATGCTAGCTAGATGGAGATATTTGTGGTTTTGGGGAAGGCCGGTAAAGGCCAATGTAAGTGTAGCATTCGGGGGATTGTTGAATTGGGTGGAGGCGGGTAAAGGAAAAAGGTCAAATCCAACACCTAATGTTTTGAAAATGTGATGGTTGTTTATAAGGAAATAAAGGTCTTGTTTGGTAAATGACTGTTAGCTGATAGTTGTTAGCTATTAACTGATTTGATTAATTAGAGGATATAACTAGTTGATAACGTTAGCTGATTGTATAAATATGTTTGGTAAATTGGCTGTTAGCTATTAGCTGATTTGGTTAATTAGAGGGTATAACTAGTTGATAACATTCGCTGATTGTATAAATATGTTTGGTAAATTGGATGTTAGCTATTAGCTGATTTGGTTAATTAGAGGGTATAACTAGTTGATAACATTAGCTGATTGTATAAAGGTGTTTGATAAATTGGCTGTTAGCTGATAGCTATTTGGTATAATTTCTTTTCTCAAAAAGCTAATTGAAAAAGTTGTTTGGAATAACTTTTTGAATTTTAGCATTTTTGAGTTAAAAAAAGCGTAATGAACCAAACACTTATAGTCAAATCAAACAATTAATAGTGATGGCCAAATAAGTCAAAATTGACATATAGGCTAACTATTTACCAAACATGGTCAAAGTCGTGCATTCACTACTAGCTATAACTTTTGACGTAAGTGGTAAGCACTTGATCTAATAAAGTGAAGGGATCGAAAGTCGTGATACATAAAATGGAGGTATGGCTAGGCGTAGTGAAATAGTTGCATGGGAGCATCGATCTTAAGTCATATACACACACATTTTAATTTTATTATATCAGGTTTACTTTACAGTTAAAGTCTTTGACGTGATTGATTAGGCCTTTGCTTCCAAGTTGCTAGATAAAGACAACGTGACTTTTTTTTGGTGACAAGTTATATTCAAACAAAATACAAGATTATCATCTAATTAATATTTGGATCCATTTTTCTTTGAAGTGGTTGTTGACAAATTAAAGTATGAATATGCATGTATCCACTAGACATATATCTAATTCATAATAAATGTACTATTAACATTCATAAGAGTGACACCTCACACCCCCAATAGCCTACAAATAAAGAAAAGTCTCATGGGATCATGGCATCCAATTAAGGCTACTTTCCTAACTAACATCCGCATGGGTGTTTAAATCTAATATTTATAAATAAACTTATGAGTTACCTGTAAATTTTTAATTGACGTACTTCATTAGCATCGACTCAATAATTAATATACAAACCAGATATAAATGAGTTGGTAGCTTTGTGAAAAGTGTAACCCGAACGAGAATTGGCAAGTCACTCGGGAACCAAGGTAATAATCCTACCAATACAATGGCTGTTTGGTTAAAAATTGGCCTATAGGTTAATTTTGGCTTATTTGACCACTATTAACAGGGCGTTTGGTTGGAGGGGGGAATTATGTGGGAAAGGAATTGTAATTCCATGGGAGTTGAATTACTGGAAATAAAGTGGGAATTTAAATTTCAGTGTTTGGTTGACAGGAATAGAATTACTGAGAATTTCAATTCTAATGTTTGGTATACATGGGAATTGAAAGGGAATAAGTAGTATAAAGTCAAAAATGTCCATTATTGTTGTTAGAGATTAATTTTAGGTTAAAAAAGGAAGGGGTAATTTTGACGCATCACTATCTTTTTTTTTTCCAAGAATTAAAATCCCAGGGGGGGACATGTGATTTTAATTCCATGAAAATGAGGGAATTGCAAATCCATGGAATTGCAATTCCCTCCAACCAAACTACGGAATTTATTGGCCTTTGGAATTATGTGGGAATTAAGTGGGAAGGGAATTTAAAATCCCTCCAACCAAACGGCCTGTAATTGTTTGATTTAATTAAAATATCAACATAAATGTTTGGTTAATTAGTTTTTTGCAATTCCAAAAGGCTAAAATTTAAAAATTTACTCCAAGCAACTTTTTCAATTAGCTTTTTAAGAAAAGAAATTATACTAAATAGTTATCAGCTAACAGCTAATTTACCAAACACTTTTCTACAATCAGCTAATGTTGTCAACTATTTATACCCTCTAATTACACAATCAGCTAACAGTTAACAGCTATCAGCTAACGGTCATTTTACCAAACAGGGCCAATATAATCTTTTGATAAGATTTTAACAACAAAAGAATTTTAATTTGGTCACAAAATTCATACAAATAAATGTCGGTGTATGTGTGCATTATATTAAAGAGTTCAATATTAATTTTATTTCTATATATCTATATACTAATAAGAGCCCAAGAGAGTTAGGCTTATAATGGGTAGAAAAAATGGCGGTCACAGATTTTAATCAAATGAATGGCTCAGATTGATTAAAAGATTGATAAGATTTAAATTTATATATATATATATATATATATATATATATATATATATATATATATATATATATATATATATATATATATATATATATATATATATATATATATATATATATATATATAGGGTCCCATTCACATGCAAACACTATTAAAATACAAACCTGTGGACAATCATGAGCCACTAGATTAGATTAGATTAATGGTTGGGATGGAACATGGAAAAATAGGCGCCAGTTTAAGACTGAATATGAAAAGGACAATTTAGACAAACCAAGTACAATCCTACTTACCATACAAATCAAACAGTTCTAACATAAGACTAATTTGACTATAACTATCCTACCACTAATACGCCACCCCCCACCCGACGCCACCCACAACCCCGACGCACAACCCCCCGCGCTGAGAAACCACCACTCGGCAACCACCAACTGCAACCGGAAACCATGGACAACACGCACACAGCATTCCCAGGTAAGCATCCGAAACACATATATGGGTACCTTATAACACACCGTGCTTACTGATCGAAGAGTATGTGCAAAACTAAAATTGTGAATCTAACGTCATTACTGTGCGATTTTTTTACAAACTGAGCGATTGAAAATTATGTGCGTCATTGTTGTCTGCCAATGAGGGGAATAGATTACAGAACCAAGCACAAAGCCATATAGGCACACGCACGCATAGCAGATCATATTACTTCAAAGAAACATAATCTTGAGTAGATAAATAGATGTAGACACATTCATCAAGAAATTTACACACCACCATATGACAGTAGCAAAGACATTGAAATTTAAAAAAAAAACCAAGCACACAAAACAGTAATGGGAAGCGCTACACACGCACTGGAGATAAAAACTGTGATCCTGCAATGAGATAGAACCAAGCACAAAACTATATAGGCACATGCACATATAGCGGTTCATATTAGTGACACAATGAAACCATAATCGTGGGTAGATAAATAGATGCACAGACATACATGAAGAAATTAAACAACAACATATGCCTGTAGGAAATACACTGATTACATTCAAAGACACGAGCACACAAAAATGAAGACACGCACACACAACAGAACCCAATAAAAAAAACCAAAAAAAAAAACACACACACACAATTACGCACTGCATCACATCATTCATGATTTGACGACCCTGAAATATTTAATTGTTATACTGAATAGGTGCAGACCAATGTGCACACAGCGTACCGCAATGTGAAATGGAAATACACAAAGATGGTTCAAAGTACTGGATACCACCCACAACAAAAGAGAAAACACCGTTCGAAGGACAGCGATTTGAAACAGTTGAAAACGGAATCGAATTCTACGAGGAATATGCTAAGGAAGCCGGATTTGATGTTAGGCATGGAACAAAGCGTAGGAATCGATTCGGGCAAGTGTCAATAAAATACATGCTGTGCTCACGGGAGGGTTACAAGGCCGAACGGAAAGAACCCAATAATAGCTCAAAAGAAAAACAGAGACGGAGGAGAGTGTCAAACAGGATAGGCTGTAAGGCACGTATGGTAATAACAAAGTGTGACGAGGGCGGATATAAAGTACATGCAATCCAGTTGCGACATACCCACTGTCTATGCTCAGATGCGGCCAAACCTTTTTTAAAGATAAATCGGCAACTTGACATCGGCCACAAAACCTTCTTGACGCACTGTGCAAAGGCAAACATCGGTCCCACAAAGGCTTTCAGACTGTTCAAAGAGATGGTGGGCACTTTCACAGATGTAGGAGCAACGTGCATTGACTTCTGCAATTTTAGACGAGACCTATTGGCCTATATAGCTGAGGCCGACGCCCAAATGGTGATAGAAGACATGTTTAAAAGAAAAGAGGACAACCCGGACTTCTATTTCGATTTCGACATAGACGAAGAAGCTCAATTAACAAGGTTATTCTGGGCAGACGCGGAATGCCGAAGGAACTACGCATATTATGGAGATGTCATGTCATTCGACGCCACTTACAACACAAACAGGTATAACTCGTATGAGGTTTAAAATATCCTAATCGCCCACTGTGCATCCGCTCTGTAAACGGTGTGCGCGCAATGGTCTGCACAGGGATAAAACGTGCGCGACGCAGAAATTCAGCGTGCGCACCAGCGTCAGATTACACGCAGTGCGCTTAAAACTAATTACACACGTGCTTATAATGCAGGTACAAGTTAGTGTTCGTCCCTTTCACAGGGGTGGATAACCACAAAAGATGCATAACATTTGGGGCAGGGTTGATTTCAAAAGAAGATGTAGAGTCATATGAGTGGCTACTCATGAAGTTCAAGACTGCAATGGAATACACCCCAAGATGTGCTACAACTGACCAAGATCCAGCACTAAAAATAGTTGTCCCACAAATTATGCCAACAACAAGACACAGATTCTGTATGTGGCACATCATGGCAAAAGTTGGGGAAAAAGTAGGGGTCACACTGTGGCACACCACAGACTTCAAAAAGGAATTAAATAACACCGTATGGGATGACACATTAACAATAGATGAATTTGAGAGGAAATGGACAACACTAATGAAGGACTACAATCTTGAAGCCCACCGGTGGTTTGCCCAACTCTACGAGGCACGTGCATCATGGATACCTGCTTACTTCAACGACATACTAATGGGAGGATTACTAAGGACCACATCCCGATCAGAATCAGAAAACCACTACTTTGGTAAATTTACAAACCACCACTGCAGCTTGGTAGAATTCATGGCACAATACAACAGTGCAATCGGAGAACAGAGGCACAACCAATCAAAACTCAACGCAGAAAATGAAGGTTCGTACCCTGAAACTAAAACCCCTTTGAGTATTGAGAAACACGCTGCTAGAGTTTACACCGTAAACATATTCTATGAATTCCAAAAAGAGATATGGGATTCCAGTTTCAAATGCCACATCACCGACAAAAATAACCTAGGTGATACATGGACTTATCAAGTTGAAGAAACAGGTGGAAAAATTTATGAAGTAACAGAAATCCCAAGCACGGAGCAAATAGAGTGTGCATGCAAGCACTTCAACCGTGTCGGTATACTATGCAAGCATGTGATACAAGTGATGAAGACACGAGGGTATGAAACAATCCCACAAAAGTATATTACCCCACGGTGGACACGAGACGCATGTGCACAGCCATTATACGATGTCCCATGGGCAAAAAGAGCAAAAATTCACAAGACAACCGAAACAACAAAAGTGGCAAATCAACTATGGAATGAATTCTACAACTGCATGGGATTAGTGAACGGTTGGCCAGACAAGATGGAAAAAATGTTGGAAACATTGCAGCAACTCAAGAAAGACCTAGAAAATGAGAGGCAACAAACACAAGAGCACCCACCCAACGAATGTGTGTTTGAAAGACTAATCGGATCAAGCAGGCCGAGCGACATACAAATAAAACCCCCCCAAGTTGCAAAGAACAAAGGGAGTGGGAAGAGACTCAAAAGCAACAGAGAGAAAGCCGCCACGAACAACCAGAAGAAAAAAGCAAGAACATGCAATATATGCGATCTCCCCGGGCACAACAGTCGCACCTGTCCAAATAAACTGGCATAAGACGAAGTTTGCAACAGTTCAATTCAACAACCCAAGAAATATTGACATTATGTTTACATTTACGAACCAAGTTTACTTACTTATATGAATATAAAACAATGTTATTAGTACCTCCACTACGTATATATAGATGCACGCACAACGGTACACACATACGCGCACACAGGTAAACACATACGAGCACAAAGGCAGAAACACGATCGCACAACACGCCATACGCCAACACCCACCAAACTGGACGCACCACGCAGGAAACAAAAAAAAAAAAAAAAAAAAAAAAAAAACCCCATCGCCCACAAAACGAAGTACACAAAAACAAAATTATTTCAAACTAACGGCACCCACCGCCATCAACCTCCGCAATAACTTTGTCTGCAACCATGGACAAAGACACCGTATACCTCACCGTCCCAAACAAACCCCTCCAATGTTTCAACAGGTTGCAAATCTGCAACTTCTCACGCTTCACCATCTCAGACTCGCCCCGTGGAAACCCCAACACTAATTCAACATCACGCTCGTATACAGGAAGGACTCTACCACCGCCCAAGTCAAACGTCCTAGACTGCCCATCGAAATTAGATAGCAGCCAATGCACAAGGCTAGGAGGACACTCTGCCACCTTGAAATCCAACAACTGTCCAAATCCTATAGCCCTAATGTCATCTTTCTGGCGCACAGACAAATCCTGAAGCGCATCAACAAGCACACCAGTCTGCCCCCGAAACTTAACAGTAGGAAAATCAGCCTCCTCTTCTACCGACCTCTCACGTTCATCCGAAGAATCGTCAGCCGCATTCCACAGCGGGTCTTGCTCCAACCTAGCCAAGAAGGCCAACGGTGGGGAAACGAAATCATCATCACTCAAACCCCCCTCAACCACCCGTTGAACAGCCCGCGCACCCTTAACCTTCTTACCTGCAGAAAACACACAACCAAGTTTATACAAACAGCTCACAGTTTAAGAGAACAAGCACACTTTAACCACAAACTTCCAACACTAACACAGCACAATTTAAATTACACACACTAGCACAGTTTAACTCACAGTTTAAGAGAACAAGCACACATTGAGCACACACTTCCAACACTAACAAAGCAAAACTTAAAAAGAAAAGCACACTAGCACAGTTTACCTACAACTAATAGTATTACACTATATGATAAACCCCACCCCACCCCCCACCCCACGGGGTTAGGGGGCAGTGGCAGTGGAGTTTTTTGGGAGTACAACTAACAACTCAACATAGACCAACTTAAATTAACACACTGTGCTAACTACAACTAAGCAATCTATCAGGATGCGAAGTACTAAATTTGCCACTCATGGGAATCTTAGTCCAACTAATTTATCAAATGCTATTTGTATACAAATTCACATCATGTGTAGACACACCAGGAATAAGCAGTTCATAGAAATAAAACAAGGTGAAAACAGTATGATCAAGACATGAAAGGTCCTAAATTATAACATTCAAATGGCAGTGCATTCAACTTAAATTAACATAGAACAACTTAAATTAACATACAACAACATAAATTACCACACTGTGCTAACTACAACTATTCGTTAACAAGGCATACTATAATTTTATCCAATTCGTTAAAAGACCCCAATTTTAAGCCAGCACCAAAACCCGGTGTCTACAATTACAACTAATGCTAACACCCACAAAAAACCCCACCAAAAATACTAGCAAAAAAAAAAAAAAAAAAAAAAAAAAAAACCAAAGAACCCGGCAACTCCACACTCCCACAGCCAGACCCCCCCAGCCCCGCAGACGAACGCCGCCCCAAACCCTCCGCCCGGCGAACGCCGGAAGCAAATACAACAACAAAAAAAAAATTAAAAAAAAATAAAAACCCCCCACACCGTGCACTGCCGACGTGCCTACCACCACACCGCACCGGGCATCCACGAACCCAAACCCCCCCAGCCCACAAACGAGCACCCAACCAAACCCTAGCTACAAAATCATACACCAAAAACGGCAACCCCGGCTCCCTCCGATCACACCCACACGTCTACGAACCCCAAGCAACCAAAACCCCCCAAAAATCGGAGCGCAAAATATGCCACAAAGCAATGAAAAAAAAAACAAAAAACAAAGAACACTAACCTCCGCCGACATCAGGTGGCCCCCCCCTCTTCAACCTGCCGCGGTCCCCACCGACAACCATAGTGACGTGCGATCGACGAACTCCTGAGCACCAGACGCGATAGCAGAGTACCGTCTCACACTCCCCTACGCACGCCAAGAAAAGACCGGAAGAATAGCGAGACTCCCACCGTGCGCGTGACTTTGAAACTAAGTCTGACTAGGACTCAATGCACCCCAAATACCAAATCTACCCCCCTTAACATAAAAACTCAATAAACAATAGCATCTCACACGCCCAAATCACATCCGTCCACCCGCATCATCCAACGCTCCAAATTAGACCTCACGTTTATATTTTAAGATGGGTTTTTACCTGAATAGAATTCTATATATATATATAAGAGCCCAAGAGAGTTAGGCTTATAATGGGTAGAAAAAATGGCGGTCACAGATTTTAATCAAATGAATGGCTCAGATTGATTAAAAGATTGATAAGATTTAAATTTTACACTAAAATTTCCTAAAATACCCACACACCGTTACTAATTCCGTTAAAATTTTAAGAATTGCCGTTAGTTCACCGTTAACTTACTCATTGATTTCAATAAAAAAAAAGGTCTTAGGTTCGAACTTCATCCCAATCAAAGTTGGCATAATTAGTACTCTATTTTACTCTTATTAAATTATATAAATAATAATTTAGTAGCTACAACAAAAATTATAGATATGCATTTATTTAATTTAGAATTATGTGTCCACAATGCCTTTATTCAAAAAAAAAATTATTCATTATCAATAAATTAAATAAGAGAAATAATTATATTAGTTATATTGTCTTTATTTTTCTACAATATAAAAATTCTTTATATTCAAATTTATTAATTGATTATATTCGCTACATTGTCCTTACAATGTCTTAATTCAGTGAAAAAAAATTATTCATTATCAATAAATTAATTTCTACTATCTATCTACATATATACATATATACAATATACAATTCTAATAAGAGCGAATAATGTTAGGCCCTTAACTGGAATAAAAAAAATGTCGGTACTAATTGTTTCTTAAAATGAATGGTTCATATTATTTTGATTTTAGTATTTTTAATGATTTTCCTTATTTACCCTTTATTAAATTATTTTATTTCCTTAAATAACCTTAAATTCTGTTAGTATAAACTTTATTAACGGAATATTCCGTTAACTATTTATTATTCTTAACTTACTTATTAATTTCTATAAGAAAGGTCTTAAGTTCGAACCTCATTCCAATTAGAGTTAGCATAATTGTTAAACATATACTGCGAATATGTTAAAATGTATTAAAAATATAATATAAAATTTAACATAAATTTTGGTCAAATAATTAGTCCAACTAAATACATAGCATATAAATCAGGAACTTTGAAAATCATTTGATTCATTAAAAAAAGAATAAATTTAAGTTTAGTTTTTTTTTTTTCGTTTAATTAATTTTATTTTGATTATTGAGAACAAAACTTAATATTTTAATTATGCTTTTATCAATACATGAAAACTTCTAAAGAAATTTGTAAATTAATTTTTACTATATTATTATAATAATATCTATTGTAACCATATATATTGATTTATTTATTATCATCATCTATTGACAGCAATTGTCATTGACAAACTCTCAAAACAATTTGTCTCAACAACGAATAATGAAAAAAAAAAATCAATGATTTCATTATTGTCGATGAAAAGTATGTAGCCACTTTATTCAATCGTTATGTTGTGGAACTGTGTCCACCTTGAAATGTGGACACGGTTCTATGTTCATAATTACTGAATTATATGTTTATAATTATAAAGTCATATATTTATAATTTTTGAGCTTCATATTCATAATTATTGAACTCTATATTCACAATTATTGAACTCTATATTCACAATTACTGAATTATATGTTCATAATTATAAAGGTATATATTCATAATTTTTTAACTTCATATTCACAATTATTGAATCTCTATATTTATAATTACATAACTATATGTTCACAATTATGTTGCAATGTGGACACGGTTCTATGTTCATAATTACTGAATTATATGTTTATAATTATAAAGTCATATATTTATAATTTTTGAGCTTCATATTCATAATTATTGAACTCTATATTCACAATTACTGAATTATATGTTCATAATTATAAAGGTATATATTCATAATTTTTTAACTTCATATTCACAATTATTGAATCTCTATATTCATAATTACATAACTATATGTTCACAATTATGTTCACAACTCTATGTTCATAATTATAGAACTATATGTTTATAATTTTTGAACTATATATTCATAATTATGAACAGTTTTAGAACCATGTCCACCTTGCAAGGTGGACACGGTTCTGTAGCATAATTTGCTCACTTTATTGCTCTTATTACTTAAATTTAAAAATAAATTAGTAGCTACAACAAAAAATAATACATATGCATTTAATTAATTTAGAATTAGATGTCTCACAACACATGAAGCATGTAGGGAAAAACTACAACTATTAAATATCAACATGTACTTGTAAGATAAAGAGTTCATAGCACAACTAAGATCTCAGTCATATACACAACAAGACAAATCTAAAACATCATACACCATAATCTCATTGCATGATGAATCCCTCAATGATACCACCAATAACTCACTTGCACTTGACACACTACCAATAACAGAAAAAAGGACATTTACTGAAGATGAAAACAATAACAATGCTACCCAAAATAGAATTAGAAATTTAAACAAAAAAGAGCATTTAGTTACACTATCGCTTTTAGACTTAGTACATAGATTAATGTTATTACAAAGTTGCAAACATTTATTTTTGTGAGAGTTATATATAATCAATCTCTCATATATTATATTGTATTTATATACTTTAAATTACCGATTTAAATAAACAAATTCAACATTTATTTACTTATGCATGAACATCTTCTATATAATATTGCATTGATATACTTTGAAATACTTATTTAAAAATAAGTATTGAGCATTATCCTATTCGCGCAAAGCGCATAGAAAAACTAATTTTTAGAATAAGAGTTAAATTTTATGACAACAACTAACACGGAACCCAAATTAGTATCATGGTGATAAAAATATCACATGCTATATGAAAAGAAAAAAAAAAAGAGTTTGATATTATAGAGTTGAAATTTGTCACAAGAGATCAAGGATCGAGTTTCACCAGCGACAGTGTAGAAACAACTTCTTAAATGAGGGGGTTCATTGTGCACAATAAGCAAAAGTCTAGCCTTGATTGATAAATTGAATCACCATAATTAACTTCTTCGAAATCCTGTCGGGCAGGATGTGGGCGCTGAGGTGGTCAATTCCACATATATTTGTTACAAGAATAAAAGGAAAAAAAAAAGATCGGAAAAAGAAAACATTATCTTCTTATATTCGGTCTTCCGTGAAGTATGCATGAGTTTCTTTCATGCATTAAATTCCGAATAAATATGGATTTGTTTGCATCACTTACTTGTATAATTTTAAAACTGTTTCCAAACTTATAATTGATTGTAGAATACAGTAGAATTATTTAATTGGGAGTTGGGACGATGGAGAAATTAATAATCAAGAGTTTTAGTTTTAATATAAGTTTGAGGCCTCACCCTTGCTCTAAAGACAAGTGGAAGACATAAATTATGAGATGTCTATTAATTGACGAGTAAACTACTGAAATATGTCGTAATTTGTCTATATATATAGGTTTTTAAATTTCAGTGGAGGCATTGACAATTTGTTCTTCAATAGATTGATAAAGTATGCATGAACAATTGAACATATATTATATTGTAATAGAGTTAATAGTACTAAAAATAGATATTTTTCATAATTATTATAAATTGTTGCGTATATACACACATATATTATTTTTAACATGTCATTTTACGTGTGTATGCCGATTACCTTTTGGATAGACCACACACCACATGTGGACATAGTCTCTTTATCATATTGGTGATGTAAAGATTCAAAAAATGTGTTCAATCTCAGTTAAAAGTTTAAGGTGATGTTTTTCAAAAAAAAAAAAAAAGTTTAAGGTGACAATTAGATAAAATATTTATATTTTATATAAAAAAAATGATGGTTTTAGTTCATTAGTTATATATAAATTGTAATCTCAATTTATGAATTATTATTCTATACAAATTTTCTCCTTTAATTATGTTGAAAGTGGTAGTATCAATCCATTACTTATAATATAAATTTTGTTATTGTTAACAATTTATTTTGAATTTCTAAATTATTAAAGAAAATATTCATGGTTTTAATGTTTTATAAAATTTCCTATATAAATAGGCCACCATATCTTTTTTTTTTTTTTTTGATATATTAAAAAACTAATCCACTAGGAATTATAAGTAATAATTATAAAAAAAGTTGATTTTATTACATATTTGTATAATTATTAAATTGTATATTATTTTTTATATTTTCAAAATTAATATTTAAATTATACTTTATAAATTAAAAATTTATAATTTTAAAAATTAAAATGAATACAATATAAGTTATTACAAAGTTTCTCCTTTGCTTCAACTCTAATGCTACAACTATCTATTAGCTAGGTGTCATTTTCACACGATTAGCTTATGTTGGTTTGGGTGGGACTAGAAGAGTAGAAGACAGATTTGAGTCATTTTCGCCATTTGGTGTCGGTCGGGTGGGTAATTATCTACCTAATAATTGATTTAGGCAAGTTGATGACATTTTCTGGCTGTGCTAATTAACTAAGTTTAAGGTTGTCTGTAGAAACTGAACCCTAACACATTTTTCACATAAGTTTGGCATGCATTCGTGATGAATCTGTATATGCGAATGGATGTAAAGGTTTAAATTAAATTTTAAAACGCTATCTACATTCATAAAATCTTATCTCACTTTAAAGTGAACTATGCTATTATATCACTAATTTGTAATTAGAGCATCCACACCCGTAAATTTTGTGAGATTTTTTAAAATTTAGGTGATCACAGTTTTCGTTAGACAAATTCTAATTAAGTCCACAGGATCCCGCTCCTAGAGCTTCTACGGAAGTAAATCACGAGTCACGCAACCAACATATAGGTCAGATCATAATTTTTATATGTGCACAAGGGATCCAATTTAAATCTTCCAGTATTATTGAGCCTTTTTCCCATACATGATTCTAAATATGAATGTTATTTTGGACCTGCAATGTGAACCGTGGTCAATTATATACCACCGAACGTAAACACGATTACAATGATTTTCTTTAAAAATTTTTGGCTTTTTTTTTTTTAAACCCCTTTTTCTCCGCAAATTATGCTGTGCAACCGTGTGCACCATAGTTGCAAAAACGACATCGTTTTGACTAAAAACGCGCGTCCCACTTAAAAGAAAAAAATTCAGGTTCGATTCCCGACAATAACATTTTTTTGTGTATAATTTGAATTATATATCCACAATGAATGAACTAAATATCCACAATGAATGAACTAAAAATCCAGAATGAATGAACTAAATATCCACAATAAATAAACTAAATATCCACAATAAATGAACTAAAAATCCAGAATGAATGAACAACATAATATTGTACGTTGAAGAGAGTCGAAACTAATTTTTTTTTTAAAAAAATGGAATGCAGGTTTTTAGTCAAAACGACGTCGTTTTGCAACCGTGTGCACCACAGTTTCACAACATAAGTATTGTTTTTTCTCCCCTTCTCTCTCTTGGTGGACTAAAAAATTGACCAAGAACCCCACTCGTAGAGATGATCTTAATCATTATTCACCCTCCCTCTCCAATTTTAGAAGTGGTCTCATTTTCACATTATCTTATTCTTTATTTTATTAATAAATTTTTCTACAATTAATCTCTTTTATCAATATATAAATAAGTCTAAGATATTAAATAATAATAAAATAAAAATTCAAATTCCATCAAATTATTTTACAAAATTTGAAATAAAATAATTCTTATTACGCAAATTAAATATTCTGAAAAAAATTTCTTGCATGATTTCGAATATATTCCCCATTTTGATCAAGTGGCCTTGTATATTTTTAGGCATGAATATATTGAAGTAAAATAAATATTATTTTCAAATTTATCAAAAAAGTTAAAAAAAATATATATATATAATTATTTATTTAAATTATATATAAAAAATAAATATATATAAATTTGAAGTAAAATAAATATTATTTGAATTATATAATAATTTATTTATTTTATTTATATTATTAAAAAATAATAGCAATAGAAAAACAAACGGAAAAAAAAATTGAAAAGTAGCTTTGTAATTTTAACTGTAGAATTGCAAAGCTAATCAACGTGGATTTTAAAAAAAAAAAAAAAAAAAAAAGCGAAGTACCCAAATTTTAGTGCTGCAAGTACAAATAGGCAAATAGCCCTAGTTAAAGGATAGTGGCTTTCAAGATGTGGACTACATTTAGAGCATAATTGATGTGTTACTATATGATCAATAAGATATAACAAAGTGAAGGCCAAAGAGACCCTTACAAACACACATTAGGGAGTTAAAGAATAGGGAAAGGTGATGTAGAATTAGGCATATTTATTGTAACTCGCGACACGAACTATTGTATTCACTACTTATTGCTTGGCTATATATTCAAGAGATCTCTATTAAAGATTTTTTTTTTTTTTTTTTTTTTTTTTTGAGTACTACTGACTCGGTTACCGTGTATCTTCAAGAATCTCAGTAGAGTGTCCATTCACTTTTATCTGCAAGTATTTTTTTTGTATCAAAAAAATTAAATCTTGTTTATGATTATATAAAAATAATTTAAAAAGAAATTTTATCAATTGAGCAAATGAGAAATCAAGTCAGACAAAATCGGCAGAGATAATAGAATAACATATATATGAACAATAAAAGTTAGCAGACTCATACTCAACACACACTAAGCACATTGTTGAACAACAAATTTACACTTGCATCCATTTGAAAACAAAAGAATAGGAAAAAACCCAACACAAAGAATTTCACACAAATTAAACATTATCCCTACCCCCCCAGGCTCCTTTGTCGCCATTGAGGATTTCTCAACTTTTCACACTCAACGCTACATCAATTGACATTCCTACAATTCACTCGAATCTCACCATTATTCCCAGTCAAAGGCTTAATATTACCCATCTTAATCATAGATCCAACAAAATCATTAGCAAAAACACGAATATTTCCACTGTAAGTCTTAACAAGGTTATCAGTCTGTCCACCATTAAACAATACTTGATCGGAGTGCAAAAGACCTTTGCTCGTCACCAAGTTACTGAAATATCCAGTGTCAAAGAAGGCAGGAGAAGGGTCGAGTGGAGCAAGGGTAGAGTCCCCTCCAACGCGTGGACATGAAGCTTGGCGTTGTGCAGCGAAACCTTGATCGATGTTGGTTTCGTTATAGATGCGATCTCTGAAGGTCCGGCACTGGGCAAGCCCCAATGTGTGGCCACCGGAAAGTGCAACGAGGTCTTTAACATCAAGGCCTTGCTTTGAGAAATTGTCAATTAGGGCAGTCAAGTCCATGAATGGTGATGGAAGGTTGTTGTCGGCGTCAGTTCTGCTGGCGGTTGTGGAGTCCCTTCTCCCAAGTTGCACTGTCCATGATGGACCTCCTAACTATAGAAACACAAAAGAAAAAGAATAAGTTGATCAATTATATTATAGATACAAGTGTATGTGGTTCTATTTTTTTTGTTATAGTATGAATTTGAGAATTACCGCAACTACAGAGTCACGTGCTGCAACTGCCAAAATATCAGCACAAGAGACTACAGGACCATTACAGACTTTATCAACTGCAAACTTGATTCGATCGATGACTTCAAAGCCTCGAGCAGAATTGGCATTAGCTAGAGAATTCTTTTCACTGTCAATGGTTGAAGTAGAATCCAGTAGAATTGAAGCATCACAACCCTGTATACACGTACCCAATAATAATTAGATCCTACTCAAAGTCATTTAGTTTGCAATTAGTTTACATACTAAAAGCTAGCAAGCAATATAATGGAGATGCTTACATTAACAAAACAATCATGAAAATGCAAACGTAGTAAAGAGGCACCCATGCGGCGCTCTTGTCTCACAGCGTCAAAGACAATGCGTCGAATGGTCGGGATAGCTTGAGGACACACTCTTTGATAGCAGAATGGGGATAGGGAGTCAGAAAAAGCCATTGTGGCAAAAGAGAACAAGAGTATTGCACCGAGGAAGGAGCTACCGGAAGCCATTATATTTGCTTTATAATTACTGCAACTTAGAACAAGTTATACTGAATTTTTGTTGTTTGGTGGTCTTGACAATGAAACCATGTAACCTATTTATAGGATAAAAAAAAAAAGTGTACTGAAGATTAAGCAATTAAGGTCATACTCGACAATTTCAACGCGGGGAAGGCTACCTATTCTAAGTTGAAAATGTCAACCGTTATTCAGGAATATCGTTGACATTTTTTTTAGTCTAATATAGTCATTTAATGTTGTAGATCATAGTAGTAATATTCTTAATGTTAGCTGGAATATAATGTATCAAAAACTTGTCGGTATTGAATGCATGACCGATCATATCAGTCAATCTCTTGGATATAGTTAACAGATGCTGAGATGCATTGCTTTACAAGGAGAGTTTTGACTTTTGAGGAAACAACTTTAGTCAAGTTAACTTGATAACTATAAAATTTTAAATTTGACTCTCTATTAGTCGGTCAGCTATAAACAACTTATTTAAGCTGATTTATCTTAATATGGTTATCTGCCGACTAGAGTTACAAAGTAAATTTCACTCAGAACTCATTTTTAAATAATGGTCGTGAGCTTCCCGTTAATAAAAAAAATGGGGTTTGAAGATATAATTGCTACTTGCTAGCTAGCTGGAATGAAAATGAAGGATAAGGAAGAATATAGTTCGTGTTGGACAGGAGTTTAAAAAATTAAATTAACCTTCAACAAATACCAAGATACTCTACACTGCATTTAGAAGACAATGTTTACACACAAATGTCAACGATAATGACATAGTATGTAACTATAAATTTAAATAAATTTAAAAGGGAGGGAGTACTGTGATTTGCTTACTTTGACCCGCCAAGATACCCTAAATTAATTAAGAGTTGAATAATTTTCAAAGAGTTTTATATATTCTATTGTAATTTGGGTACACTGGTCATCATGCCAAGAAAAATTTTAATATTAGTGAAATTTTATAAGTCTTGTGCTATAAGATTGTACCATATTGTCAATTCGGTGATTGAAGAATCAATGTTCGTTGTATATGTATTTTCTGCATGTGTTTGTGGAATTGTGGTATGCCACCATCTCTATAAATACTATAATTACACCTAAAATTAAGGAATTGAAGAGATATTGTTTAAGTATACAAGGAAATCAAGTTTTATGAGTACTAAGGAAATCAAGTTTTATAAATTTCTATATTATCAAAAAAAGAGTTACAACTATGATTTCAATTGATCTCTATACATTTGCATAAGATTTTGATGAAAGGATTGACAATATCATAATTTCTATACTATATGGTTATCAAATTATGAACATATAGTTAAGTGATTTGTAAATACAAAGTTCAACAATTGGGAATATGAACATTGAAAATTATGAACATGGAGTTTTGTAATTGTGAATATAGAGTTCAATAATTATGAATCTATAGTATAGAAATTATTAATCCAATTCTGTGTGCACCATATATGGTGCACACGGTTACACCGCATAATTTGCCCGTTATTTTGTATCCATTATATTTTTATTGGACCTCCACTGATCTCGAGATCTTATTATTATTATTATTATTATTATTATTATTATTATTATTATTATTATTATTATTATTAGGGAAGAAAAGGAAAAGAAAATAAATTTCTTTTTTTTTTTTTGTTTTTTTTTTTTTGTTTGTGTCGGCTAAGGAAATAAGAAAGGAAACCAATTTCCTTTGTTTTTGGTGCAATTGGAGTATGGCGCCAGCATAGTTGGAATAAGGAATCAAATTTCCTTATTGTTCCATTATGGATTCGGTAGAGAGGAGGACGTAAGGTGTAGACGCGAAAGGGCAATGAAACACAAATTTCTTTTGCTTCTTTTTTTTTGTCTCCTTCAGTAATTCGGCAGCCGCGTGTTCTGTGTTCTACGGATTTCATTCTTTATCGTAGGTTTGTTAGTTTTGTCGTGACTTTGGTTTCTTGATCAAATATTTTTGCTTGTTTGTTTAAGTATCTTTTGATTATTTTTGTAGTATTTGTACCTTTTTCACCTTACTCGTGGTGGTTGAATATTTTAAGTACGAGTTAATATTAATTTTTGGCCTGTGAGTTATATATAATAGAAGTCTTTGCCGGAGGGTTATTGTACTTAGATGATTTTTAGATGTTTGGTTCGTGTGATAGCCTGTAATTTTGTACTAAAGATTTGTTATAGTGAAAACTTTGTTGGTGGTATGGTGATCCCGTGGTTTTAAGATTTTCCATGTAAATTGTGTGTTGTTCTTGTATTTGACATTTATTTTTGGATTATTGTGTATTCTCTTGTATTAGGGTGCTGTGTCAAATTTGTGATTTTCAATGTCATAGGAAGTTTTTTCATGGAGAAAATTTTCTTGTCATTTTGTAAGTAATGAAATTTGAAGGAAAATGTTACCACTAAATTATTATTATTATTATTATTATTATTATTATTATTATTATTATTATTATTATTATTATTGAAGAGTATAAATATCTAAAATCTAAATAAATCTAAGATTTTAATATAAAATACTAAATACTAATATTGAGCATTATATATAATTGAATGATTTTTGTTTTTTTTTTTTTTGAAAACCAACTAACCAAAATCAATGCATTAAAGTGGAATAGGCAACAAAATATTCTACAAAAATAGGAGGAGATGCGTCCACACAACCACACTAGGTAATAATTCTTTCCAATAGTCCACATGGGTAGCTCAACTGGTTATAGAGGTGAAACTTTGGAAGAATGATCAGGGATCGAGTCTCACAAAGTGAGGGGCTCCTTGTGCGCAGTGAGCACTGGTCTAGCCTTTATGGTTCATGTTCAGTCGGACCGGGGTTGGGGTTCTTCCTTTTGGATGATTTATAATTTATTCGACCATTTTCTCATTTTAGAAACTTCAAATAAATTAAATATGGTAATTATTGTCTAATAAGGTAATGATTGATATTGATGGAGTTGTATCAGGTAGCTCTCATGGCTGCCTAAGTTATAATATATATATTCATAATGCAGATAATTTAATTTCAATTCGTTCAATCTGTGTCCTTAGCTTGAGTCTTGACCACTCCAAGGCCAGGCCGTCATGGACGTTCTCCGCTTCGCCAGTACACAAGCTCCCCTCAATCTACGTTGCAAGCCCCTGTCGCCGGCCGCTGCCAATTACACCACCGTCAAGGCCGCCGGCGATGTACATGTAAGGAGAGCGACTAGCGGAGCTTTAATCCGCGCTGCGCTCTCTAGGCCGGAGGCGCAGGGTTTGTCTTCTAAGTCCACAGCCGCCGCCGAGAAGCAGTTGCGGCGGCCTGATGAATTGCCGGTAGTGTCTCCGGGCTCGTTGACTAGTGAGCCTGGACGCGTTATTCCGAATCTCGCTTGCCACAATGGAAAAGAGTCCTATAGCTACAGAACCATGGAGTATTTAACAGCGATATTGGCATCTAATAAGGTATACGATGTAGCGCTTGAGACGCCATTGCAGCTCGCCTCCAAGATCACGGCCAGGCTGGGGAACAATATCTGGCTCAAGAGGGAGGATCTTCAACCTGTACGTATACATATATATATGCCCCTTCATTTTTCTCTTCAATTCTTTTCTTTTTGTTTCAAAGTTATAGTCAAATAGGTCACTCTATGCATGATTTGCACTTTGCCCCTTAATCAGGCCAGTCCGGTACTGACTTAAAAGTGCCTCCTACCATTAGGGCATGCTAAGAGGTCTGAATGACAAAAAAAAAGTTAAAATATTGGCATGCATGCAGGTCTTCTCATTCAAAATTCGAGGGGCTTATAATATGATGGCTAAACTCCCAAGAGAGGTATTGGATAGAGGAGTTATCTGTTCATCTTCTGGTAATCATGCCCAAGGGGTTGCATTATCTGCACAGAAACTTGGGTGTAATGCTGTAATTGTAATGCCTGTTACTACACCTGAGATCAAGGTTAGTTTAATTTGGCTTAATTTACTCCATCTCATCTGTATGGTTACTTATTTGATCAAAATATAATTCTGTAATTGATTTGCAGTGGAGATCAGTTGAGAGATTCGGGGCAACTGTTGCTCTTGTGGGGGACTCATTCATTGAAGCACAAACATATGCAAAAAGAAGGGGTGAAGAGGAAGGCCGCACATTCATCCCTGCTTTTGATCACCCTGATATCATTGCTGGGCAGGGTACAGTTGGGAAGGAGATAATAAACCAAGCAAACTTTCCCATACATGCAATATTCGTTCCGGTTGGTGGGGGTGGGCTTATTGCAGGCATTGCTGCCTTTGTGAAAATGTTTAATCCACAAGTAAAGATAATCGGAGTTGAGCCATGCGATGGAAACTCTCTGGCATTGGCATTGCATCATGGCGAAAGAGTAATGCTGGACAAAGTGGGAAGTTTTGCAGAAGGCGCAGCAATCAGTGTGGTAGGCGAAGAATCGTTCCGTTTATGCAGAGAGTTAATAGATGGAGTGATTTTTGTTAGCCGTGATGCTATGTGTGCCTCGATAAAGGTTAGTCCAGATATAAGTTTATAAGATCATGTGTTAGACTAGCTAATTTATTTGATTCAGTCTTTGCCCTGCCCTAATCTTATTGAATTGAATGGTTTGTTTTGTATATATATATAGGATATGTTTGAAGAGAATAGGAGCTTTTTAGAGCCGGCAGGTGCTCTTGGGCTTGCAGGAGCTGAAGCATACTGCAAGTATTACAACCTTAAGGACCAAAATATAGTAGCATTAACCACTGGAGCTAACATGAACTTTGATAGATTAAGGTTGGTAGCTGAACTAGCAGATATGGTTGGTAGACAACGTGAAGCTGTTCTTGCAACCATTTTGCCTGAAAAGCCTGACAATTTCAAGAAATTTTTTGAACTTGTGAGTATTATTAGTATATATACGTCTTTTCACTGTTATGCAATAGTTTATTAGAATTTTTCTTGTGTTATTTTTCAGTCATTATTTTATATATATTAAACTGAATTGCAGGTGGGGCCCATGAACATTACTGAATTCAAATACAGACAGAGTTGTGGTCAAGGACAAACTCCAGTACTATACAGGCAAGAGTTCTATATATCATCTTTTAAAGATGTTTATGTGTTATCTTCAATAATTTTGGACGTAATAAGTAGGTAATTATGTTTTGGAATGTCATATAATATAATAATAATATAATAATATTGCATGCAGTGTTGGTGTTCATACAAAAGCGGAACTTGATGCAATGGTGGAGAGGATGAGAGTCTCTGGATTACATACCATTGACCTCACAGATAATGAGCTTGTCAAAGATCATCTACGCCATTTGGTACGTCTCTTTGGATATAATTTGGAGTTTTACGTGGTTTTTTGTAACCTTAAATTTTCCGGCGAATCTCTGATCTGATCTTTGTGCAGATTGGTGGGCGATCTAGTGTAGAGGATGAACTTGTTTGCCGATTTGTTTTACCAGAGAGGTCTGCAGGTGCCCTAATGAAATTCTTAGATGCTTTCACCCCACGCTGGAATATAACTTTGCTCCATTACCGTTCACAGGTACGGTACTCACTACTGAAAATTATGAAATTTTCGACCACCTGAAAGTGATCTTAAATCAAGTCAAAAGCCTTGTTCCGACCACTTTTGGTATTCGGAAAAATCTTTGTTGCTATTTCCGACCACTTTTTGGTATCAAGTTGATTTAAGATAACTTTCAGGTGGTCGAAAATTCCATAATTTCCAGTAGTGAACGGTTGCCATTTATTTCAATCCTTACCACCTTTTACTTTTATTTGGTTTAGAAGATTATGTTATTTTCTTGTGATGTGGATATTCAATTCGAGCTTGAACTAATTAATATATATAATGTTTCTTTCTATCATATCTGTGGTTGAAAATGAAAGGGAGAAGGTGGTGGTGGTGTAAATGTGCTGTTTGATCTTCAAGTTGGGAGCAACGAGATGGATGAGTTTATGCAAGAAGCCAACAATCTGGGTTACGAGTATGCTGTGGAGACCTGTAACGAGGCTTTCCAACTCTTCATATGATCGATATGATGCACTATTGAATTGGTGCATTAATTGCATACAAATCAAAATTTTATATTGTGCAACGCTTATGACTACTATTATATTCCTTAGCTTGGCATAATTTCTTGCATTCACTACATTATATTATAAAATATATTTTGGTAATAATGCAAGCATGCAACATATATGTTTTGTGCCCATTTATGTAGTGTACAAATTTATGCACGGTGCATGTATACACAGATTTCATTCCAAACTGATCCAGCCACGACTATGGATAGTTTATAATATGCTCATCAAGTATTGATTGATATCTTTTGCATGGAATACAACGAACTATGTATAATGTATATATATTTTTCAGACTGTATCAAGTACCTTCAACTCTTATCTTCGCATGCAATTTCTGGTCCATATATATCTATATACAAATTTTATTTGAATCTGAGTATGAAAATGTTGCAACACCAATTGGCACGTACTAGTGCCTTTTGGAACGTACTGTACTACTACAAAAACACCGCTCAGCTACAAGGTTAACTTGATAGTGCAATACACACACATAAATATGTATATATATAATGGACTCTTTGATATAGTTTGTCAATAAGTTATTTTCGTTATCATATATATTTTACCTGTCATGTTTAATGTTTAGTTATTTATTAGTTGAGTGAACTTTTTTTTTTTTTTATTAACCTCTTCTTACCACTTTTAGATTTGATTTTTGTTCATTGATAAGTGCACAATTTATACACTTAATTGGATAAAATCACTAAAATTGAGAATAAAATCACGTCAAATTCATAGTTAAGAAATCATTACTAAATCACTAAGGGTCCATTTGGAAAGTAGGAAAATGTTTTCTGAAAAATGAGATTTTAGTGTTTGGTTGCATTTTGGAAAACTTGGTGTGTTTAGTTTATTTTTTGAAAAAATGACGTCCCCCAAATTTTGGCGGAAGTCATTTTTCGCCAAATGGCTTCATTTTACCCAGTCAACGGAAATGTTTTTCATTGACTGGATTTTCCTGTTACATCCAAACACTAACAACTCGAAAAATATTTTTTAGAAGTCATTTTCCGGTTTTACAAACGGACCCTAAATCAAGAAATGTTGTCATAGTTGAAGTTAAATAATAAATTAATCTTAAAATTTATTAGTGAGTTATACTAAATTATATTAAACTAATAAAATATGGTGAGAATATTCTTTTTTGCGGTTCTTGGGTTGGGAATTCATCCTTGTACTCAAATTGGTAACAATAGATTGCGAGTAGGTTCCTATGAGACACATAGTACTTTTTAAACTAAAATTGCGTCTTTAAAAGAGATTTTATTTTATTTTATTTTATTTAGGGAAATGCAGTTTTCAAATGCCTTTGGTATTTACAAACACTATAAATAATCTAAATGCTAAGAGACATGCATTTTAAAATATGAATGACGATGCCACCACATTGGTAGCCTTGCCCTCCCCACTTGACGAGGCCACCTCAAGGCCAAAGCCAAACAGATGCACATACACGGCCGCCCTAAAAGTTGAAGAAAACAGACAACCAACTAAGTTGAAGAGATTGGTAATATGTAATCACAAGATTAAAAATTAAGGCAATGACTAAATTTAAAATATAAAAGGAATGATATGATTAAGCAATTGAAGCTAATTAAGTCAGCCATCTATGTACCTCATTGCCAAATCCAACTGCAAAACCAAAGAAAATCCTCCCCAAGATGAGGATCCACATATGCTGAGCAAGGGCACTCAAGAGTGCACCAATGATGAAGAGAATTGAAGCCACAGAAATGGTGGGTTTGCGCCCCAAATAGTTACAAGCCTTTGAAGCCCCAAAACTGGCAACCAAAGCAGCAATATAAAGTGAAGATGTGAAGAGCTGCAATATTTGATCATCATATTTGCAGTAATTGTTCTCTTTCACATCACTCTTTCGCTCATAGAATCTTGGAAAAAACTTAATCAAAAAATCATCCATGCCGCTCACTCCACCTATCAACCATAATATTCACAATCTCAATTTTATCCTTTTAAAAAAAAAACATTTGAAGATCAGATAAAAAAAAGATGAATAAATTAAAATATTACCTGATAATTGCGTCTTCAAAAGATGTATTATATGTAAGATTTTCCCTAATAATATATATTATATATTATATATTAGGGTCTTAATTAAGTGGTGCAAGTGGACTAGGTTTATTAAGTGGTCTGGGATACAGGATGAGGATGTTAGCACATTCAGTTACGATACTCAGACCGCTCAGTAGATATCAATACACCATCTAGGGTTCTGAGTCAGGTCACATGAGTCAGGTCACATGGCTAACGGTCTACTGTTAAGAGATAACACAACAGGAACATCAACTATGGCTGGAGATCTACATGGCTACGTTTCCGCTATCATACGAGGTCAGGTTTCTCGTATACTATGGTTTATTATAGTTAGATTATTGTATATCTAACATTTAGTATAAGAGCCTTTATAATCTCTGCCTGGTTAATTGTTTTGCCTAAAATCAACAATCAATTTGAATATATATACATTAAGTTCTTGGTATATATTTTGTATATTAACTCTATGAAATATGCTTATATCTATCTGGTTTTTTGATATAATAATTTGTGCATATTTTGAAAGGATTATATTTGGACTGCTGGAATATTTCCAGCATTAATAAGCACGATTTTAATTTCTCTTGGATTATGAAATTATCTATCGTGATTGGAACTTGCCATGACCGGATTTTGGCCGGAAAAATGGGGTGCGATTCATTCTCCGGTTTCAGTCTCCGATTTGCGTTTTCCGGCGACTCCTACTGGTAGGAAACGACGGCTATATATTAAAAAAATAATAATAATAAAAAAAAGGTTTCGTCGCTTTCCAGTTTCCCCTCCGATTTACCGTCCGGCTACTGCTGCTGCTTCTTCATGTTTCTCCTGTCGGCGCCGTATGTGGTAAGTTTTCTTTTGGCTGAATTAAGTTGGAGAAGGTGATGGATAGTTCTTGGGCCAGATTTAGGCCCATTTGGGCAGACTTGGACACTTGGTCTCATAAAATTCATATTGGGCCTGTTGAGTTTTTCCTTGGGCTTAATTAAGTTTTTCCCATCACATTTAGATTCTTCTAGCCAATTGATTAAATTAATTTCTCTTTCAATTATTATTAAATTATCATTTAATTTTGGGCAAATATTATGTTTTTAATTTGCTGCTTGAATTTTACTTTAATGTTAAAGTGCAAATTAAATTGCCTCAAGTGTTGCAATTTATTTAGTATATATGGGTTAATAATGTATTAATTTGCACATCCAAGCATGCTACGTATATTTATAAATTATTGTTCTAATTATATATTCATAATAGCATGCATTAAGGTTGGATTTAACATATTATTAACTCATAAATTCATTATTAAAATATCATTCAATTTTGGATCCTTAGGTCAATTTTAGGTATTATGACCTACTAAATCAGCTTGTTTGGTTTCCCCTTAATTTTGAGCACATTTTAGTTTTATGTGTCTCAGGGACTTTAGAACCTATTTTGAACAAGTTATTTGGGACCTATCTTCGGTCATTAAAGTATGGATCCCACCATTTTGATTGATATTTTAATAATAATTATAGCTCCTTATAACATGTTTATTAAGTTTTAATTATTACTAACTACCATATTTTGGTATTCATCGTTGGTAGTAATATTAAGTTTTGGGTCTATTTCAGTACTTAGACCATTTTTTATTCATGTTATAATTCACTTGGGTCATTGAAGTTTATGTGCATAATTTGAATAATTAAGTGCTGTAATTATTGTTTTGGCCTGTTTAGAGACATTAAGGATTTAATTGTTATTTTGGCCATTAAGAACTATAACTATTGTTTAAGTTGATTAAATTTTTAATCTATCAATAGTTTTTCAGGGCCTTAATAATAATATTAAGTCTTTAATTTTATGGCAAAAGCAATATAGTTAGTATATTGTGTATAATGATAATTTGGTTATTACCATAACTTCAGTCTCCCTGAGTATCATAATAGTCATGGTTAATTATTATGTGGTAAATTGAGATTAGTATTTGGCATCCTTAATTACAGTTTTGCCTTTATTGTAATTATTATTAATTAGCATTATTAATTACTGTTATTAAGTTTAGGAGCTAATCTCATTTTATTACTTGTCATAATAATTGTCATTTAATGGTAATATGCTATATTTGGTACATTGGCATGATTACCACTTCATTTTACATGACTATTAATGTTGGTAATTAAGTCCTACCAATAAATTTTTTAACGTACCATTGGACGCTGCATCGAGTTTATTGACACCGATAGTGAAGATTGGGAGAATTTTGGAGTCTTTTCTTCTCTTGTGGATCGTCATCGTTGTTAGCGCAATGGGCAGGTGCGGTTTGCATCATTAAGGTTAGCCATTAATTATCTTTTATGGTTATTATTGATAATTAGTGCTACAGTTACCGTTAACCGCTAATTTGGACTAGTCACATATTTTATCTTTAAAAAAATGAAAACATTAAAAGTGCATTACCATACTTTAGTTTGTCATTACTAATGTTAATAGTGATTATAATGTTACTTATTGCTATTAATAATTAGTTAATTAATGATGACATCAATATTGTTATGGTATTCAGTTATGCACCTTGAACTGTTTCCAAATAAATTTATGTGACAATACTCCATAATTTTCTGGACATTAATGTTTTTCGGACTTCAAATTTTATTAAGTATTAAAAATTTTATCCGAAAATGTTTATAAATGTTAGCGGTTTTAACCATTGTTTTTCCATATTTAGTCTCCTACATACATAATGTGATAATATTATTATGACTAATTATTGCTATTTTGGTTATTTGCAATTTTGCCATTCATAATAATAATATTATTATCTGGATTATGGAGAGTGATTTTGAATCAATTTAGTAATTTTGGAAAATCATATTTTCTAGGCAATTGACTTTTGCCATTAATTCCATAATTCATTTAGTTCTTTGAATTATTATTTTAGTTCTTATTGCCCATATTTGGCTAAGTATGAATAAATGAATATTTTGTTTAAATTCATATCCTTTAGTTGGTTCATACTCTTTAAATTATTTTATGCATTCGATCATATTAAATGCATAATATTAAGTTTAATTATGCAATTAGAGTTTGTGAGATTTTGCTTTACAAATGATAGCATATCCTTTTGGTTTGATATTGTTTGAATTTGTAAATTCAGTTATTTATCATAATTTGATCTTTATGCATTAAAACATTTTATCATGGGCTTACAGTTTAAAAATTTTTAAAGTATATATTCAGTACATTATTATTCAAAATGTTGGGTCTCTTTTGGTTTGGACTCATCGGTGTTTGAATATTAAGTTTATACTTTAAAATCTCATATTGTAAATTGCTTTAAGTTATGCAATTTATTTGGAATATATGAGTTTAATGCTTAATTTTATGCATATTTGTCCACCGCATAATATTATGTTTTTAAATGTAATTTTTATTATGCCTTTAGCAATGCATACTTTGAGATGGAATTATATTAGTTCCTATTTAAGTTGGACTTACGCATAAACTTTAGTCGCGGTAGTGCCTGAATTTAAGCACGTTTAGTCCGCTATTTTTAGTTCACCATTTAAACTTTAATCATAGGTGAACCTTACAGTTTTCTGGTGTATACCCTACAGTTTTAGGTTCATACCCCCAAACAGTTATACTTTAAGTATATATGAATCGGTGAGACATACTAGTTTTAATGGCCATGACTTAAGGAACATCTTGTGCCACTAGTCTCCTTAAATTGATACTCTATTTAAGTAATTGGTTTTCAGTGAGACTTAGTCTCTAACCGCCTTTCCTTGGAGTATATTTAGATTTTCCCATCACAATTTGGTATAATCTGTTTGCCAAAATTTTAAGTATTCCTTGCCAATGTGATTTGGTTTCGGTTCATTAAAGAATAGTCAAAGCATCTTTAATTTACTGAAGTCTCTTAAGTTTTCAATCTTGGTTAATTAAGGAATAGCTACAGCATATTCAGCTACCTAAGATTATTAAGTTTTAATCACATAAAGTTTAGGCAAGGATTTGATAATTGTCTAGTGATCTTATAATTTTAATTTGGTTTGGGAGTAGCCACAGCATCCTTAATCTGTTAAAATTATATATTAAGCGGTTTATTTTGATCACATAAAGTTTTGGACATATCATTTGTGATTAATTGTATGTAATATGATGAAATTTAGCCCACATGCAATTTCGTTATATTTGTATAATTAATCGGGATGAAATACTGGACTAAGATCATAATTTAGCCCACAAGCAATTATGTATCGGAATGTAGTTGAGTAGTTTTATCAGTGATGATAGAAATAAATCAATTTATTTACTTTATGGTTATTTGTAAATAATTTCAAATTCTATCATGAAGGTTAATTTTATGATGTAAACTTTATATCATATTTCTTAATTTGCCCACAGGGATTAAGAAACGGAACATGATCTCTTAAGTTTTTTATCATAATGATAGCAATGAATCTTATTGACTAAAACTTTAGCCTACAGGCAAGTTTAATGTCATTTTATTCTTCAACTCATTTGATAATGGTTTCATCATAAATAACTTTTTTCAGTTGGATCTAATTGAGTAAAACTTTAGCCCACAGGCAAGTTTTATGTCACTAGATTCTTCTGCCTCTTTAGTAATTGTGAAAAATATTATCATAAGGGTTTCTTAATTGGATTTAATAGAATTAAAACTTTAGCCCACAGGCAAGTTTTATGTCAATAAATCGCTCAACCCATTAGATAATAATTTTATCACAATTTCTTAGAATTTATAAATTTAGCTCAATTATAATTCTAAGTTTCATGGTTTGCATTGGCAAAACATGTTTTCAGTCACTTCCCAAAATTTAGCCAATTTTATTAATTAATCCACGAATCTTGCTCGGTTCTTCG